AAAAATGCTTAAATTGTTTAAACGTTTTAAAGGAGATTTAAAAGAGGTTTATAAGTGTTAAGAAAATTTGTATTTTTTTAATTAAGGATTTAAAGTCAAATATTGTTTTTTTATTAAGATTATGAATTTATTAAAGGTTTTTTTATGGTTTTATTCCTTTTTTTTTTTTTTTTCTTTAATAATAATTAAAATAACCTTAAAGCTATCTTAACAACACTTTAGTGGCAGTTTATTATATAAGGTTATGTTTAAATATAACATAAATTTAACAATTTTTTTACGTAAATTATTTTTTATTTTTAAGAGATTATTTAAAGATATAAGGCTCTCCTTTTCTAAAACTAACATAAAAAATTATAACTTAAGTTTATTCTTAATTAACACTTTTAAATTATTAATCTTAAAATTAAATAACATCTTTTAAACCTTTTAATATATGCGTTTATCTTCTTCAAAATATATATAAAAATTAAATTTACCTAATTTTTATTTTTAAAATTATTAGGGAAAAGAGTTTTAAATTTATTTATAAAATAATTAAATTATATACATCTTATACCTATTTAAAACTAAGCCTTTCTTAAAATCAAAAATTATATTACAAAAATTAAGATTTTAAATTACTTTAATTTAACTATTATTTCTTTAAAGAAATAAAATTATTTTTAATGTCGTAATTTTTTATAGAAAAAGTTATTATTCCTTTATTATTAAATATATTATAAAAATATATTTAAGCTTATCGTAGCGAAAGTATATTTTTTTAAATAATTTTAATTAATATAATTTATTTATTATTAAATTTTTCAATATTTTTTTTGATAAGATTTTCTTATATTTAACATAACTTTAACTATAAATTAAATTTTTAAATAAAATATTTTATAAAAGAAAAATTAATAATAAAATAGATAAGGTTGTAATAGTTGTAATAGTGTGGGGAATATTAAAATTATTAAAAAAATTAAAAAAAATTCAAATAATTAAAAAACCCTTTATATTTAATAAAACATATTAATATTTACCACTTTAATTAAGGAAAGATTAACGCAATTTTATTATCCCTTATAATACTTATATTAATTAATATATAATAGGAAATAATAGAAAATCCAATATAAAAAAATACAAAAGGCTTAATAAAAAAAATAAAAAAAAAGCCGATATAATAAATATCGTTATATTTAATACCACTATTTAAGGATATTATATTACTAGAATTTAATTAACTAATACTCCAATTCAATTAATAACCATTTTTTCCAATATTTTTTATTAAATCTTAAACCAATAAGATTTTATAATATTATCCTTTTCCTTAATTATCAATTAACAATTTTAAACAACATTATATATTAACTATAATGATTTGTAATTTTAAACATTTTTATTTATACATTTAACCTGTAGAACTTAATTTCAAAAATTATTAATAAAACAATTAATAATTGTTTTAAATATATTTATTTTAAAAGCGGTTAAAGTTAGCGATAATATATTTATTTATAGCGTTTACTTTTAAAGTTAATTTTAAGCCTTTATATGTTTTAAAAGGTTTTATATCTGTGAGTAATATGCGGTAAATGTTTTATTCTTATTTTAAGCGAGTTTATTTAAATCGGATATAAGCCGATTATTTAACTTATTTACCAACGTTATTAAAAATTTGTTTTTTAAGGTTTATTCGATATTTATGAGGTTTTTTAACACGGCGGTACCGTTTTTAACTCGATTAAGTGTTTTTTTAAGTGTTAGGTTATTATTTAAAAAAATCATAACTTTGTTTTTATATTATATGTCGATCGTTTGTAATATACCGGAGATAAGAGGGATTTTATATCTTACATGTTAAAATTATTATTTTAAACGGTTTAATTATTTCGTTATTAACTTATTACTTTTAAAACGACTATATCTTAATAAGTTTAAAATTTAAAAGTAATATAAAATAGCTATTAAATTAGCTAAAATATTTTAAAATAAAAATAAAATAAAGTTTTTAATATTTAGTTTTTTATTAGTGTGTGGATTTATAAGGTTTATAATGGGGTTTATAAGTAATAATATAAGAAATAAGTTTATTAATGTATAATAATTAATTTAATAAAATTAATATTATTGAAATTAATGGAATTAATAAAATTAGTAATAATTAGTTTAGGGAATAATTGATGTTTTAAATATGGAAAATTTTAAAAAGGGAGAAATAATTAATAAAATAATAAAAATTAAAATGGAGAAAAAAGGATTATAATTAATTTTAATAAATTAATTAGGAAGATTAAACCAATAAGGTAATTTGTTTAAGGATTTTTTGGATATAAATATAAATAAAATTAAATCGAATAATTCTTAATAATAATATAGTTATTAATAAGCTTAATAAAGTCGATAAAAATTAATTTAAAAATATTAAAACACCTTTAAAATATCACAATAATATTTTTTATAATAAATTTAAATAAAACGTACAAAATATTAATAAATAACATTTGTTCAAAATTAAAAAATAGCTTAAATGAAATTACTAAAAAAGATTTATTAGTTTCGAATAAATTATATATTAAAAGAGAGAAAAGGTTTAAAACCAATCCCCGTAAGACAGGTTTTTTACCTGTGTCCTCTTATCTTATCTACAATAGGTGGCACCTGCCACAGTATCTTACATGTAATGTACTACATAATTATATGTACTATATAAGCATTTACATATTCCATACATGCACGTATTATGTAGGCATTGTTTCAAACATGTGGATTATGAACCTAATTGATTGATTTGCATTTTCAATGTTCTACATATAGTGTACCTAGTACTACATGTAGTTATGTACAAAACAACCTTGAATGTACATACCTATGTACTACTAGGTATGTAAGAAGGGTAGGGAACACATACCGTACATCCGATTACCACATCTACACACACCTACACACACACCTACGCACACACCTAGTTATTGGCCCCTATCGAGAACATTGAAGATTTCCAAGATTCTAATATGTACCTACTAGTCACTGAGGTAAGAGAGGTCTTCGGGATAGGCTACTGGCATGGTAGGAGTTTTGCTTGGTCGCACATCATCTTGCCACCTCCACGTCCTGAAGTCTTGATCTCGAACATGGAGTTCATTTACTGGCCCGCCTCCATGTTCCAGATTGCTTCTTTCTTGGCCTTCCCCAACTCCGGCAATCAGGACAATCCACAACATTGAATCCCGGAAGTCAGATTGATCGGGTGACTGCATCTCTAGTGCCAACTATAGATTGAAACGAATATTCGAGGCGATATTGAAGGCGTATTGATCCTACGTGGTTAGGAACTGAAGAACCATGCACAACTGCACACAACTGCGCACAACTGCGGTTGTGCACGCTTCCGTCTATTCATCTCCAATAAATTCCGTCCATGTTCCCGAAGCTCCATCATGTCGGGTTGAAGCTGTCGTTATCCTGCCGTTCATATATCGTCGTTCGATATGGTTGCTATTCTCGACAATCCTCTTCCCATCGACCCCCAATGCTTCCCTGTCTGGTTGCCTGGACTTTGAGGAGTTTAGGAAGCTTGGGAAGGAACTAGACTAAAATCCTTCACGCTGACCATGTGTTGATGCACTGCTGCTGCATGTTGCTGCTGCATGTTGTTCACGCTTGCCCCGCGTAAGCCAATCCGAGTCTGGGGCCACCTTCAGCCTCGAGAGTGGAGTGGAATTCTCAAACGGTGTGATGATGCACCCGTATTGTCGTACCAGCCACTCACACCATATTCAACTGGAGGAGCAAGCTGGGTATGCAACGTGGTCATCCATCTGTCGTGTCGCTTGTCAGTTACAGCATTGAAATTGCACATCATGATCCGGCTGAACTGAACTTGAACTTACGTGTAGACAGAGGAAGACGTTGCTTGATTCGACTCAAAAGTCCTAACCGATCGAGATTAGCGGCCTTCATAGTATGTATCCTCCGTCACAGCTCTTTCTTCCCACTTAACCTACATAATATGTAGGTAGATGAATATGCAGGTATGTGATATTATACCATCCATGGATATTATACTGTGCTATATTCAACTCTACCGAGCCCCTAATTACACTACCTCCCTTAGGTAGGTAGTAGACTCTAACTTGGAGAGAACTAGAGCTTTCCGTCTCCCTTTCGTCTCCCACTAGAGGCCGTTAGGTCGGACACTTTCTCTGATCCCATCCGCTATCGAAATACTTAATCTTGCGACATGATCAGCCTCAGACCAATGAGTCTAAGTCTAGACGGCAACGATAACTCGTCAGAAAATTCCCCGGATTAGGGACACTAGAAGTATGATGTGGTACAAAGTCGTCGATTGGCTGATTGATCCATTATAATTTCCAGAATGAATACCAGCGTTGCATCGGGCCAAATTGGTGTACAAAACTTCTGGATACTTCAATTAAATACACTGATTGGCTCCTGTCAAAACGTTCGCTGCGGTCAACACTATCCTAGAAGCGATCCCTTGGCGAGAAGATCGGACAGACAAGTCACAAAAATGTCAAAGAGTCGACAACAACAGCCTGCCCCCATGTGAGCAACGAAACAAGGGATTAATTGCTTCTTCATGATCACGGCAATTGTACGTGCGTACGCAGGTACATAATGTAAGGCGAGTACCTATATGTAACATCGATTGAATAGCTAACATTACATAGTAGTATATACCTACCTAGGGTAGGCTAGTACCTACTTACCCATGCAGGTAAACATCAATGTCCGTCTCAGGTCATGTCTGTCATACCTAGTGTACATGTAGTACCTGATGGGAAGCTTGCCGCGACTCGGGGTGGGGAAGGGTAGCCGCTTGTGCAAGCCACGAAGCACGGCATCATCATCAGGGTTAGTACTACTACATAGTAGGTAAGGAAAGGGTACCTAAGGTAACCTAGGTAGGTAGGTAGGTATGTATATGGATTCTGGAATCATGGAAGCATGTGTATGAATTCTCTCTTTCTTCTTCTTCTTCTCGTCGTCGATAATCGAGTCGGTAATTGTTAAGACCAGGGATCGACCGAAAGCCCCATAGTTTCCATTCCGCGTTCCTTTAGTTCCGTACCTACAGTTGTACTAGGTAGGTAAATAGTTGGATTTGCGACCCTCTGTCTTCATAGAGGACCCCCCCTGGGCTCTTGGCTGGGCTTGTCTTAGTAGGGTCCATGGGACTGTGGGATTCATCTCTTTGTCGAATTACGAACACCACCCACCTACGAACACGGTTCCATCCTTCATCGGGCCCCCTGCCCCGAAGTTCAACTTTTCTCTGGATCCTCAAATCCAATTGGATTCTTGATCCAGTTTACTGCTTTTTCAAGCAGTCGAGTTGCAGTCGAGTTATTCTTCCCCATCATTTCAAATCTCTGCGCATTGTCTTCGACTATCTTTTTGAAACATTTTTGTGCTTACTTTTTCGTACTAAGAAGAATAAAGGACTTTCACGTACCGGGTTCACTCCAAATAGGAACATCCATAAGAACATCCATACTACATTGGTTACCGGTACTCGGTACTCTACTTCACTTGAATACTACGTAGAGAGAAGTTCACAGGAACCACCCTCTCATTCCCCGTTACCCCCAGTCCCATTCCCAACCGCTTCCCCCTTGCAACACCCCCAATCGATCGTCTTGGACGTGTAAAAAAGGCGCTATGGGGAGCTTTGAGCCCCTTATGAGCTTCAATTTACCGGAGCTTCTGGCGGTGGACTTGGAAGATTCTGAAGAAGTTTTTAAATCGAAACAACTAACGGCTGGTCCCCCCGCGCCCGCCTTGGCCGATGATGGGACCAAAAGACGGTATTCTTTACAAGATAGTTCATTGAGTGCTGTTCCTTCATCCCATCTAACAGACAACATGAGCAGAGCCAAATCAATGCAAAATGTGCATGAAAAAGAAACACAATTTATAATCATACGTCACGAGGCACAACCCGACAACAACAGTGACTCTGATACCGCCAGTAGTGAATCATCTGGTGCTTTGATGCCCCCATCAATCAGTATGCGGGATGCGTCAGTCACCACTGCAGCTACTTCAGTCACTTCCGAGAGAATGGAGAAAATAGAGAGGATGGAGAGAATGGAGAGAATGGAGCACCCGAACTTACCAAAGCTCGCCATTGCCACCCAACCTAATAAACAAGCAGGAGAGAGTTGGATGGACTTCGACATCGAGGATCCAACATCGCCGGATCGCAGGTACAACAGTATGATCAACATAGCTTCCCCAGTGCAGGAGTATCTCTCTCTACGAAGTGATCTTCCCTTGGAATCACCAAGGAGCATGTCACTAAACTCAGCTGTTCCTCGCCCAATTCTAATGAACCCAAACTTATCGTCGCCCACCATTCTCCCACCTCCGCGTACCGCGGACCCAGAGCGCGTCAAACAGCCTTTGGCGTGTCCCATTGAGCTTCCCAAGCGACGCTCTTCATTGCGATATCGAGAGTACACCTCACTCCCTCAGATTAACGTCTCGCACTCTCTACCCACAACGACTCATACAACGACACATTCAACGACCCATTCAACGACTCATTCCAGGGCAGCGTCAGTCATCGAACACGCGCCATCTCAAAGCCACAACCCACCGATTGCGCGCCTACCTCAGAGACCAGAAAGTGAAAAGATGGCCAATCATGAAGGCGATCGTGACAATGGTAGGGTCAAATCGTCCTATAAGATTAGAATCGAAGAAGACATAGCTGAGCAGTTCTCACAAACAGAAAACGGGCAATATCCTGAAATCGCTCCGCCTGGGATTGACGTTGAATCGTGGTTGGAGTCCGCAGTTGACAATTTCCCTTATTACGCCCAGACGAGAGCCGACGGACACACACCCTTACCGCTTCCGCCAGAGGTAATTGATACGCTTCGAGTCTCGATAGCATGCTTCCCAGAGACCATGCTCCAATGTTCTAGTCTTTCTATTGAAACCATTCGTGGTCACTCCAGGAAGCTAAGGTACAGGGCTACGAGCACCCCAAGCCTATATTCCGAATCGCCCACATCAACAGAATTTCCAGACCAGTCAAAACAATTTAAATGGAAATGGCTACCGATGAAGAAGCAACCCTCATCCCCCACTCCCATGCCGCCCAGTCCCCTACGAAACGGCTTTGGAGAGAGCCCGGAATCGCGATATAGCCACGCCTGGCCTCGGAGACCGGACTGGACGGCTATCCAGAATCTCTTTCCCACCGGGACCGATTACCTATGCGACGCTCTCTACGCTCACCTAGTCGCATACAATTATATTACTTCCCTATGCCCGCGATCCGCACTAGTCAACCCAATGTCGCGTCCAACTTCCAAGTCCTCCTCAGCAGGATCGGATATTAGTATGGGCCTCTCCATCGATCTGCGCACATCGGTTGATATCCGATGCTCTATCTCGGATGGCACTACGATACCGCTGAAGGCAGCGAGCCTACTCGGCCTACAGGACGATCCTTCTGCGCCAATTCCCGACCCTCCTTCGTCGCGATGCGCCACATTGCGTAGCAAGCGGTCGTTTTTTGCGGTACCCAAGTCTGCTACTTTTTCGGACGGTAGTCGGCCGATGACATCCATGGGCCCTCGGCGCCAATCGCCGGCCGACCATACCGAACAACTCCTAAGGGATCTTCGATTAGGCCTGGCGAGGTGTATCTCGAGGCTTGTAGCTACATTACGGGTTTCTAATGGTTGTCAAGCACCGGGTGCTAATGGACCCCAGGCGAAGCGGGAGGATGATCCCGATTTCATGCGTGCGCTCTGTGAGATTGTTCGTCTCTCCGAAGAAAGATATATGTAGAAGATTCAGGCGTAACCTTCTACCGGCCCGACGCGCGAGCCAAATTGAACACATACAAGTACTTATGGTCAAGGCGAGAGAGTTGATATATACGCCCCTTCAGGAAAACGCGATACCCATGAAATTAAACAGGGCCACTCTCAGGCTTACAGTTATTCCGCAGAAAATGCTTTTGCTATTCGTCTATACTTCTAACTCATTTCTTACGATAAAATTCTGCGACTCGCTTTGAGGCACCTACATTGGTGCCGTATGATTTTTATGCTGGGCAAACCTTGCTTAATCATGTACACTATAATGCGATTTCTAACCATTTCCTGCCTGCGCCATCGTCTTAGGGAATGGAGAATGACCGAGGAGGAAAGAGGCCGAAAAGATCTCGTCAAAGCTGGATTAGGGGTTGAGAAACTAGTAATCAACAATGTTGGGATGGCATTACGCAAGGCATGCATGAAACATGTCTATGTGAAAAAGGGTGGTTAAAGGGATCATTCTTAAAAAAATCAGATACCTCTCATTCATGTCCTGGCGTTCTCGGAAGGAAGGGGGGGGGGGGAAACATGACAATCCGGAGTTGGTGGATATGGTTGCTTGCTACAGACTTCCCTCCCACTAACTATCTTTTATAAGACCACAATCCAAGCATGAAACCGAGCAAATAGGAAGATGAATGAAAGCCGCGAGTTTATTTACTTGGGTGGTGATGGCCTGTTTTAGCAGACCGTATATTAAAAGTGTGCCGAGCCTACTATCAGGTAGGCAGGTAACGCAAGAGAATAGATAGGCATGAATCTAAGATTAGAAAAACACGGTCTGCGTACCTACCTAAAACAATATTCACTATCAATCGATGCCTGTTATCCCTCGCCTCCATTAACTACTCCTTATAAACAATGGCATGTAAAAGATCCATTGACCGTTTACCACGGGTCAGGGATGTCTCGTGTACTAGCGTCATCCCCAATATCCCGAAGCCAGGGCCCCGGCAAAACATGTTTTAATAGCCTAGTTGATATGTGGTAAGTGCTCGCAAGACAAGCAACCACAGCCGGCCAGGTGGTATTGTTAGTTGGGCAAGTCAGGTTGCTCGGTCACTTCGTTAGTACAGTTCCGTAACGTGGGTTGTACTCGGTATCTAGTGTAGTTTGGGGGGGGTAAAGAAACACCCTAACAAAGGGTTAGTTAACTAATTATGAAGTAAAACGTTTGAGAAGCATCGTAACCTAGTTAGTTAATAGTTGAAATGTGAATAGGTGCAACTGAATTATGTAACTAACATACAGACAGCAACGTTGACTTGGGTACGGTACATAGCTAGGCACTGAAACAAAACTCGAGAGGTCAAAGTCGCGGAAACAACTGTTCGGGGGGTTTAGGGAGACAGGAGAACTACTAGGTTAGGTGCGAACGCGAGGAAGGTAAGGGGAAATATACACCGACAAGGCTTGATCCCGGGCTGATAGTTATATTGGGGCCCTTTTATACCTAGCCTCCGGCATGTTCGCATACACTACTACGTACTCTTCGCAGGGAATGTACAATACATACGAAATGGGCCCAACTGGAAAGCTACCTAATCACTGTAAGGATACTTTTTTGTTTATTACCAAAAGGTAGGGAAGGCAAGACTACCTAGATAGGTAACATACCCTTGCGTGTTTTGGGAATCAAGGTTCTGGATGGGGAATAACCTGCTGCATGGTAGTTTATATCAAAGACCTTTTATAGAACAGCGATGCGATGTGACATACCAGGGGGGAAACTGGATACTGGAATCCACATGATTGGGATTCACGTGACGAGAAAGAGTCACATGATGGGCTAGCCCCCTTTTTTAAGCCCCTTTTCAACTACACCTTTCTTACCAGGGAAGACTACGGCTATATATTTTGGGTTGAATGGTCGTAGGTTTGGTGTAAATGACTAGTACATCAAATTCAGGCAATTTGAGATGAATTTCTAAGCTGAGGAGGCATTCATATTTGGCTCTCTAAGACGTATAATGGAAATAATCTTCTATATGTTCAGCAATTAGTTAGTTATATCGAGACTTCCTAGTTGGGCTTTAATGAGGTGAGGCTCATTGACAACCTTATCTTAGCACAAGTGAGGATTTACTGTTTACTGATCATTAATATGAAACATTAGGAGTTATTTTCTGAAAATGGGCTCGATAATAGAGTGAGTACGCCAGCTTGAATAAATCTGAATGGAGACATGGATTATTCTAAATCCCGCCTCTCGCTTTATCCGTATAAATCTGTAAGGCAAGAGGGCTTCAAGAAATCAGACATACAAGCCATGCAAGACCAAAGCAAATAATGTAGGTTAGGCTATCTATCTCGTAGGTACCTATTCATTGCCCCTAGAAACGTCGAAAACTATCATATCCCATGACGTGCACGGAAATCACGACAAGATTAAAGGTATCTGAGGTTACGCCCCTTAGGCAAGCATGCTCTCAGTCAGATCAAAACTGGCAAGCGGCGGCTTGCTTGATTTGCTGTAGGGCTTTCGTGGAAACCCACCTAGTTTAGGTGACTGCTTTCCCATTGTGTAAGCACATAGCAGCAGCTAATGATCACTATGTGCAATAATACCTCACTGATTGGTGAAGTGCTTGCATTAGAAATCACCAAACATTTGATAATCTAGGCAAGCGCCGACGTACCTAAGGCAGCTAGCTCCCTATCTACCATATAAGAGCAGCTCTCTACAGCTGTATAAAGACGCTGATGGGCCAATGGGGTGGGAATTGCGCAAGTTCCCATCCCACGATACGGAAATACCTATATTATCCACCTGAAGCAGGTGTGTTGGGCACTTAGTATATAGTTAAGTCTCAAAAATTTACGAAGCTTGGTGGGGGTGTCTGTTACTGCCTTCACCACCACAAAATATTTCAACCCTTTCTACCGGTACCTTTAATTTTCCCGCGCACAACTTTCCTTTACGTGAATCTTTTTCTTCACACCACACCACTTACACCGTCCTCATCCTACCATAAATCAATCAAGGTTTATGATTCTTTTCTTCACGTCTCACCTTTCACGTCCTTTTATTTTATGTTATTTCCGCGGACACGCTTTATTCAATCAACCAACCTTCCACAATGAACTCGGCAGCCCCACCCATCCTCCGCCTTCCCGACGGCGTGCAGGAGAATATAACGCAGCACACGGCCCTCCGTTCCCTTCCCCAACCTCGCGCAAGACATTCTACCGCCTCTACGCTAGCAAAAAAGGGACTCCCTCGTCTACCACATCATCACCACCAACCAACCAGATCGGCGGCGCCAACTACCCAGCAGCCATCGCCTGCTCCAGCGCCCGACGCACTGACTGGACCGACGAATGAGCCAGCCTTGACAGTGGCGGCACTTCTTCGCCGCGGGAGCACGCGACGATCCGGGAACTGAACCGGTTCCTTAACGTGTGGGTTTCGGGATGGTGAGTTCTCCCCCTCTCCCCTCTCCCCCCCCCTTTTTTTTCTTTTTTTCTTCCCCTACCAACAAACACACCACTAACCCGAAGAAAGAAAAAAAAAATCACAGCCTGCGCCGACCTCCCACGCAACCAACAATCCCGCCCTCCCCAGCCTTTGCATAGCCAACCGACACCCTGGCTGACCATGCACGGGCTCCTGGGTTTCGCGCAGACCCTGGAGGACCGCAGACCCCCTGCGCGAGTCCCTCGGCAGCGCGTGTGCGGCGGCTTTCCTGCAGTCGAGCCTTGGGCCTTACAGGTCCATTTACCAGGTCCGCATGACGGTGGTGTGGCCGCGGCCGCGGCCGTTGGGGGAGTGGACGAGGAAGAGGAAGGAACAAACGGAGACACAAATGGAAACCATTAACTCGTGAAATGAGTTCCCTGACGGCGAGGAGTTTGAGTCTGAGTCTGAGTTTGCGAATGAGGCTGGGTGCGGAGATTATCACTTCTCGAGCATCAGTTAGGTGCCTGCCTACTAGGTGCTCAGGTGGTATATCAAACGAATAATGCCCTTCTCATTCACGGCTGCCTTCACAAGCCCCTAATTCGTGAATCACTGCCCATCTGCCTACCCATCTGTCCATGACACATCTATACAAGCGTGTAATACAAGACGAGAGGTACTAGGTTAGGTAGTATGGCCAGCAGGACACTTTGGTGGTACATCGCCTGAGCATGCGCAGCATAAAGCTTACAGAGAAAGAACATGGCGTCCCTGTGCCAGTTCTGTGGGGAGGTATTCTATGGGTGGTATCGCAAATCAGTTACTGGACAGATGGGCATCCGATAGTTTGGCTTGGGTATTTGTTAATTGTAGGACAGAGTACTCCACCAACACAGAATGAGGCTTTGCGATGCCATTCCTTCAGACTATGCTTCTTCTCATCTTCTTGGCATGATTGATATATAGGTACCTACCTAGGCAGATATCTACGAGTCCTCTGACCGATACGCGTGCTAGTAACTGTTGGGTCACTAGATCAGGTATCATAATGCGCAGTAAAAGTGTTCTCTGTCTGCGGTATACATAGATCTGGTCACTCCAACTTATATCCGTCTTAGAGCTCTAGTTAAACAAGGTGCCAGGTAATTAAATTAGCATTGGGAAGATGATATACACGCCAACGCCCCATCCCCCTTCTAAACCAAACTCCTGCCTTTAACGTTGCAACAGATTACCGACCACACTGTCCCTCAGTTATAACCCATCGACTCGTCAAACGGATACCGATCCCTCAGCACACCACCGATCTGTCCCTGTTCCGCGAAATCTTCCATGCCCGTGAGCCCGCTACTCGACTGCTGCGTCATCGTTGCTGGCCACGACACGCTGCCCGTGAAGCCACTACTCGACTGCCTCATTGTCGCGGGCCATGACACGCTGCCCCCCTTGCTCGAATCTGGATAGGGTAGCGAAGCGCCGGACCTGCTACCGCCACGGCCGCGCGGGAGGTGATCCACCGTCGGAGCGGCTAGGCGGCCATGCATGCGGAACGTCTTGGCATGGGCGTTGCTGAGACCCAGCAGTCCCGCGGTCACAAGCAACAGCACCATGAAGACGATAGAACCAGCCTGCGACATATTCCCGCTAAGAGCCGCGACCATGTAAACGGTCAATTTGGCAGCAGCCTCGAGATACCCGTCTAGATGCGTCTTAGCGCTCAACCAATGCGTCGTGGTAATAGCCTGCAGGTCCTCGGCCATCCCGCGCAACGTGACAGAGCGGCCGTGGCCTAAGTCTACGAGGTACTCGGTCAGCACGCTACTGACGTGAGTTGGTGACGGTGGGGTCTCGGGGGGCTTCGAGCGCTGCTTGATGACCCAGATGTTGAGGACACGGGAAAACATGAGAGCTAAAAGGGAGGCGAGACCCCACCACTCGCGCAGCAGAATCATGAAAACGAAGGCGGTAAGTGTGAGGACTGGGCTTGCGAGGTACAGCACGTGGGAGACCCATCCGAGATCTGCACCCTGATCCCGCCAGATGGTGGCGCGTTGTCCCGGCCGCTGGCTGCCGCGAAAGTAGTAGTTTCGCTCTGGCATGGTTCCGACGTCGACGGTGACGCGTTGACCAGACAATCCTACCCGTTCAAGATATTGGTGGGTGGCCGTGTTGGTGATGTTGTACGTGGACGTCTTGCCTTCGTATAGCTCGACGGCATTGTAAGACTCGCTATGACCAGCGAGTGCGTCGGCAGCCTGCTGGTAGTGCAAGCCCGGGGCAAGCAACAGGGCATCAAGCCATGATGAGCCCCCTACTATTCTTGTTCGCTGGGCGATGGTGCCGAGGTCCGCTAGCGCTAGGAGCCCCGAGGCTGAGAGCTCGACACCGGGAATAGGGGTCTGAGACCAGTTCGGAAACGCACGCTTTAGTATAGTCTACATGAACGGTTAATTCACACTTGTATATAAAGCTTGTCTACGATGGACATGGGCAGCCCACCTCCATTTGTAGGGATCGTCAAGTTGAGTACCTAGTGAGTAGTCAAATTAGATAGTTAGGTAGGTAGGTATATAAAGTGGTGTTTCTTTTGTACGCATGGAGCCTCGATATTAATGCCACCGTACATACAGGCCTAGGTTAGGTATGGATATGATGTTCGATAAACCTTCCTATATCATATGAAGATCTGAGACATGCTCAAGACTAACCGTAGCAGCTCTACGAGGCCATAACCAATCTGATAATAGAAACAGGATAGGCAGAGGGGACTTTCCCCTTTTTATGAACCCATAGCTCTGGTAGGGTTACAATATCCCCTTTCGAGGCTCTAGCTACGGCCTGCTGATCATCAGGCTGGCCCGTTTCCAAAGCAACCATAAGTAGGCTCGATATGCAAAGGGATCTGGTAGATAGGCCAATGACATGACGAGGATGGAATCACGAGCTACAGGCATTGTGCCGCAGGGAGAGGGTGATTTATAGATATAGTGAATGATTGCACCCTCCCAAGGAAAAAGAAGATGGTTGCAAGTTTAGAGACATGAGAAACAGGAGGAACAGGAGGAACATCTGGATTTATAAGGTCCTAAGACATGTTTTCTTGGCGTTGGGGTTGTACATATGTGGGAAATAGAATCTTGGAGGGGGAAAGGGAAGAGAAGAGAAGGGAAAGGATAAGTTTAATGGTTGAATCACATTCACAAAATCAGTTTACTTATCTTGGGTACTACATAACGTTAGTACGTAGTACATCTGGTATGGCACTAGAGTGACTAGACACCCCAGGTGGGGAGAGACTAGAGATTAGCTGCATAACTACCTAGGTAGGTACTATGTACGTGCATAAGTAGTGTGACAGCTGACCCCATATGTACATAGTCAAGTTACTCAAGTAAGCCACTTACGGAGCTAGACGGACCGGATAAGCCACGCCCTACGGTATCGATAAAAGCTCCCACCAGTTCAAACGATAACCTTAAACCTTGGAAGTCATAAAGTGGGAGACTGGTCGGTTCCATCGCTGTCACGAGCTTCCAACTTACAACCTTACCTTTTACTTGTTTCCAAAATATTACCTTGCAGCCTTAGTCCTTGGTACTGCATATTTCACTCCTCTCCTTTCTAATCATCAACTAAATTATCAACTCATTAAAATCAATATTATCCCACTATTTCTACATGATATTGTACTACTTACATCTTTCACGGCAACAAGTAAACAATAAATACCAAGGCTACTTAGGTTACCTAAGCTTAGCTATGACTTGACCAACAACATGTCTCCTCCATCACCACCAGAATCAACTTATACCGTCTTCGTCCGACTTCCATTTCCTAGGGGCAACTTCGTTGATCCTCCTCCTGTACGTAATCCAATCCCCTCTTAGTAAGAGCTGACTGATATGGATCCAAGGCGAATTGGGATTCTGTTAAAGACGAAGCTCTGTGGAGCATCGTATCTCGTCTTTCTGGAACAGAGATAGACTGTAAGTTGTAATGTGTCCATGTAAATGGTGATAACCTACGCGTCGTGTAATGGTTAAACTAATAGATATCAGGGAATGAAATGTAGGTGCTAATTCTCATTCCCCTGCTATGCAACCTGTGCCAGCCAACTCATCCCTATTAGCGCCGACAGCTTCGGTGTCACCGTCGACTTCCTCCTTCAGCAAGTCGCCTGGCTTACGGAGCGCCATGCATCCCAAGTTCGAGCCCAGATGCGCAAGGCTGCCGCTGCCGCGAAGGGCTCATTAGCCCCGTCGCCTCAGCCTGGCCCTGATGGTCCCTTTTCAGCAGAGCCTATGCGACGTACTGGGTCTAGCGAAAGGCCACCTCGAGCACCATCCGCATTATCTATTCGGAAGGACTCTCCGCTGCCTCGAAACGACGGTAGCATACCTGGCACTCCGCTGAGGAGCAACTCCAGACCTGTCACAACCCGCACTTCTTCAGCCAATACTACCGTCTACACCGCCCGCAATATAGGCCCTAGCGGAAAAGCCTCCTTAAAACCTAACATCGATGCGGCGCGACAGCGTCTATCCTCACTTCCCATTGCCACCTCCGTTGATGATCCAGATCCGGACCCGACGTCCTCGAGCCCAGTCGAGTCGAGCTCCGAAGCCTCTTCGTCCGAGTCCAGCCCCGCACAGTCCAGAATCATCCGACGACCACCACGCTTCCAGCAAAACAATAATGATGGCCGATCCTCCTTCGCCGATGACGATGACGATGAAGACCCCGAGCCTGCCTTTTTGCTCCATAGGACCCAGACACAGTCAGATGGTTCAAGCAGTGGCACTGGACCACACGATCTCAGCGCAACACTCCGCGGCAATCCATCTGTGCGCGACTACGCAAAGCGCAGGGAACGGTTTCACCAATCCCATACCTCCGACTCATCGAACAGTTCCGCCGTGATGCCGTTCAAAGGTAATTCATCAGATCAAGGCCGGTCCAACGCAGGCCCACTCTCGCCTCGTCGCACCATGGAGCTTGCAGGTCGTAATTCTGGCGGCAAGGGGAAGGGGTACTCGCGCGATAGCGATGGGACGCCAAGTATGGGAAGTAGCTTTAGTGATCTGGACGGTACGGCCTTTTCTCCTCCTTCCTCACACAATGTTTCCTTCACGCCATGGCAAAGGGTTAAAGGCCTCGCTAACAAGATCTGGCGCAGACGCTTCGGTAACCCAGTCGGCCATGGAAGAAGTATTTGCCAGCAAGATGCAGGACGGTACCTTGGGTAGCCTTAGAGGAACTATCAGTGCCGCTTGGAGGAGCAGATATTTACCAGGGAAGTCGAACCCCTGAGCCAAACCCAGATTCTTGTACTTTCCCCTTCTTTTCTTTCAAGCTTCTTTCGCCTTGCTCTTGATATTTATCTCAAAATTTGGAAATTCAATTTACTACAGTAGGGTTGTCATGCTCACGTGGGTTAGGCGGGTATAGCGGGCGGGTTACGGCAGGGCAGGGTAGCTCCCAATGAGCGGGCGTCACCTAGGTACGGCGTTTCCGGGATTTCCTGTTACTGTGTATCATGTATTGTCTTTGATGGACCGACACATAGCTGAGTACTATATAGGTGCTATATAGGTACTAGGTAGGCATGTAGGCAGGTAAGGCGAGTTGGTTTACACAATGGGACTGATAGGGCTGGAACTAAACTGAAAACTCAACTGCCTATGTGTATTGTATCTAGCGAGTCGTAGCTGGGAATATGTATAGTAGGCACTGTACTTATCCACGAGGAATTCACTACCTATTCGTCTATCTACATTCTGCCTACTTGACTTACATGGCTACAGGTCTAGGCTTAGTCAGCATGCATATAGTTAGAGTATCACTGGGTATTATAGAATATGAATATCAAAAAACTAAAACCTATCGTGATGATTGTGATGAATTTGTGTAGGGTTTGGTGCATCCTATCTAAGTATCCATCCATCCATCCATCCATCCATCCATCCATCCATCCACCATTCGAAGAGTAAGTGTCAAGGGTCTACCCGGGATCTACTAATCAACGCAGAGTAGACAAGTAAACCATACAAAATACTAGCTAGAACAAAGACGACCACACAGAGGGCCTAAAATCGTCGAGGCCTTCTTCTCCCCTCCCCCACTGACACATGATGTGTGTCGAAGTTCACCACCACACATGGATGCACGCCCTAAGTAGGTACATCGCATAGTGGTATAACCGCTATAACCTCCCCAGCAAGACGACGCGTCTTTCAGGGGATCTGGAATCCCAGATCCCCTAAGGCAGAGTAGTAAGTAGACTGCCCGCGTTGAATATGTGTGATGATGGATAGCGACACAGTGATGGCTGGGGGTGCAGCCCACAGCACATCGGCTAGTTCTTCGAACTCTTTCCCCATGGATTTGGGATGGGTTGTTGGCATAGGTCGAGTAGACGAGTAATGTAGTATACGTAGTATTAGCAGGGACACAAACGGCCACCCTCATGGGTGTGGCTGTTTGTGTGCAGCCCCACACCGCATCTGCCAACTCTTCGATTTCTTTCCCCGCCCATTTGCGGATGGTTGGCTGGCTGGCCGTCCATAGCAGAGTAGAGCGACTGCCTATGAGACGAGCCAGCACAGCGACGCATGATTCTGTGAGTGTACTTGGCCAGAAAACATGCGTCGGTGGTGGTGTCGTTGACGGCATCATTGATGTACTTATTGAAGACCGCCGCACCCCCCCATTGTTGGAGGATGAGGAGTATGTCACCAGCACCACCACCACCCAGGGGAGGAGGGTAATAAAAGGTACATACATGCTGTACCCCCTATAACACTCCATATCCTGTTCTCGAGCAAGATGTATGTTAGGTAGGTAGAGATCTCGGCGCAACGCAACAAACACCATCAGGTCGTGCAGATCCAGAACCCGGACCAGACACCACCCCGTTAATGAGTAATGGCATCCGTCCACCACCCAGCCACACCCCCCTGAGAAGGTGTGTGTGCCTATCGTTGTCGAAGGCGGCGCAGAAGAGACCAGCCATATGGAAAGGGAATGTTTGCGAGAAACGATGCATGCTGTCATCCACAACGCCGCGAAAGCCACTCGCGGGCAGCTTTCGCGGCGTTGTGGAGGCACATTCCCCCTGAGGAGGTGTGTGTGTCTATCGTTGTCGAAGGCGGCGCAGAAGAGACCAGCCATATGGGAAGGGAATGTTTGCGAGAAACGATGCATGCTGTCATCCACAACGCCGCGAAAGCCACCCGCGGGCAGCTTTCGCGGCGTTGTGGAGAAGACGCCATCCTGGGAGGGGCTGTTAGAGGTACATACATAGGTGTTGTTGTACCCCGTATAGCCTCGCACACCCAACGTGCTTCTCGACAGCGGCCCTCCGCGCAAGAACGTCAAGTTCCTGCGCATCCTCGGCTCCCAGGCGGCCCCACCCCCGCCCCGTATAGCTGGCTGTATATCGCTACCACGCACCCCCCACCACCCCCTGGGTGGCGAATGGCGTCGATCGCAGCGTCTGCGTCGAGGGCTGGATGTATGTCGTTTGTCGAGTAAGGGCCACCCAGATCGGCGAGTAGCTGTTCTATTCTGTGGGTGGACGGACGGACGTACACCGTAGGTACATACGTACCCTCTATAGCCTCGCATGGACAGGGAAGACTTCAACGGCAAGTTCGGTAGTAGGGATCTCAGCGCACCAAACATCGTTTGGGTGTGCGTCCTTGATCCCACCGGGCCGCCACCTCGTGAGGTACCGTGGTCGTGGTCGTCGCCCACGCACCCCGCCCCATGGGGTGGCGCGGCTGCCCGGTGCGGAGTAGGTCTGCTACATCGAGGACTTGCTGTGACAAAGACGTATATGTGTGTCGGCCCATGTAGCCTTCGCAGCCATGTCGAAGAGGCGGAGGAGGAGGGGCTGGCCGGAACAGAAGAACACCGAGAGCGCCATCCTGGGATGGCTGTTGGAGGTATATGTGTAGATAGGTAGGTAGTCTCCATAGCTTTGCAAGTCTCCAACGGAAAACTCATTGGTAGAGTTCCCGGCGCAGCGGCATCGTTGGGGTGTGCGTTCTGTATCCCAGACCCCCTGTAGAATGATTGAAAGTACGGTTGGGTGTGGCACGATGGAGAGTTCTCGAGGACAGCCTTCGTGGTGGGTAGACTGGGTTTTGGCGAAGCGTCGACATTGTCCAGGACTTGCCTACCTGGGTGGGTATAAAGGTACATTACATACGTACCCTATATAGCCTCCCATAGGTAAGTCTCCGGCGAGATTATAGGTGGGGATGACGACGCAGCAGACAGATACCGCCCCATCCGGGATTTTTGTACATCTTCGCGCTTCTGGGTTACACACCCCGCGTGGTGGAGCATCGAAGATAGTCGGCCATTTGAATGACGCCGCATCTTCTTCTTCTTCTTCTTCTTCTTATTCTTCTTGTTGCCGTCGCGTGCCCTGTTTCGGGTGACTAGGCACCTATCTTTTGACGATGCGTCGGTGGGTTCGAGCATTGTAAAGGGACACACATACAGGAGAATGTAGGAAAGTTGGTTGAAGGCGAGATGAGATGATAGGGGGGCAGAGACGCCAACGCAACAATCATTCTGGTTCTGGCTTATGTTGCGTTGGGTCCTGCCCCGTGAGAAAGTGGTATTGTTGCCACCATGAAGCAGGAAAGATGAAAGGAAGAAAGCTTGGTTTATTCCTGACTACTCTGGCGGAGTGCCAATATATGGCTGGCATAGTGGGGCCGTGAGCCTCAGGCACCTGCGGCGGAAACCTAGGTGGAAGGCAAGGAGACGACGCCGCGTGATGTTGTGGCGGCGGCCATCCATTTTTTGATGGTTGCATTTTTGGAAAAACTGTTGAGGGGCTTCTGTTGTAGATGTAATCCATTTCCTTGGTCTCCGGCGAGCTGTAAGGTAGGCGGAGGCTCCCACGCAACAGTCATTCTGGTTCTGGTTCGTGTTGCTTCGGGTCCGCCCCCGTGAGAAGTTATGCCTAGGTGGAAGGTAAGGAGAAGAAGACGCCGCGTGATGTTGTGGCGGTGGCGGTGGCCACCGATTCTTGGATGATCGGCTTTTGGCAAAAATGTCGAGTGGGTCCGGTCATAAATGTAGTCCATTTCCTTAGTCTCCGACGAGATGTTAGGTAGGCAGAGACACCCACACAACGCCGCAGGAGTACTGCGTCTACCGGCCCAGGTCCCACCCAGTGAGAAGTGATACTTGGGGAGGGGACCCAGGCCAGTAGAAGACGTTGCAAGAACGCCGGCAAGCCACACGAGCCGAGCCGTCGTGGGTAAATATTTGAGTCCAGCTCGTGTGTGGGTTCGTGATTGGCTTGCCTGCGCTGTCTAGGTCGACATAGATGTGAGCCGATAGATTGCACTCGCAGGTGTCGGTGACTGTTGTTAATCGCGCGCACTGCCGCTTTGGACGAAGTGCGTTTTCACAAGCGTGGCCTGGCTCATGTTAACGAGGGGTATAAAGGACCATGCGTAGTGTGTCGTGGCCTTTGTAATCTCTAGCAAGACGACAGAAATATTAGAGACACCCGCGCAACGAAACATAGAGTAGTCGTCTGCAATCTCTACCACCCAGTGAGAAGTGGTACTTAGATACCACGCAAGGAGACGGAAGACGTCATCGTGGACTTTTTTGCCTCGCACCATTGTTGCAAAACTGGCATTTGCACAGGAAAGAGTCTGGTGAGTCTGGCCATGGTTGTAGAGGCCAGACAGCACCCACGTAGTAGGTTCTGCCCCTCCTTAGTCTCCGGCAAGACGGTCATGTAGACCATTGTTAATTCCCTCCCCACGCAACATCATCGTCGTTTTCATTGGTCGTCGTTGCTGCCTGGTCGGCTCGCGTCCCCCAGGAGCTCAATGAGCTCGTCTAAGTAGAGGTCTAGGCGGCTAGTAAATAGCTCCGCGTGGGCTGTGATGGCTGAGAAGCGTTTAGCGGCCACTTCGAATGATGCTTTCCCCTGCATTTGTTCGTTGCAGGGAACCCGGACCAGTCGACGGTAGAGCGACCTGCGGCGTCCCCAACTCGGCATGTAAGAAGTCAATTTGCCGTGCACGGGGTGTAGTAGCGCGGCGGTCATCTGGTCAAACTCTCGAAGATCTCTCCTCGGATGTGCGAGATCCATAGCGGACAGCTCATCTCCCAGACCTTTCGTGGTCGGCGTGGGTGTCGGCTCCGCAGGTATGGCCTAGGTACTCTCTAGGTATCACTTCTCGCGAGAGGAAGCTGCCGGTGGCGTTTGACAACAACAACAACAGAGGCATTCATGTCCTTCTTCTCATCCCCCTTGAGCTGGGCCCTTCATTACGAGACCGCTCGAGCAAGCAGACGACGGTTTGTCGTTGCTTCTGCAGTGCCATTTAGGTACAAATGGTTGACTGGGGGGGTTTTTTTTTTGGCAGAGCGTCAGGTTCGGGGCGTGGAGGAGAGAAGAGGAGAGAAGAGGAGAGAAGAGGAGAGAAGAGGAGAGGAGAGGACAAGAACGATGATGAAGTTGTCATTGTTGCTATTGTCATCGTGCCTCCCTCCCAAGGGCAAAGCCCCACGTGGAGGGATGGAGGGAGGGAAGCCAGCGTCATGGCATTCTTTAAGGCCTGAGGTAATATATAGATATAGAGGAGAAGGAAAAGGCGTACTAGCACACAACCTCCGGCGAAATAGCAGGTAGAGATCCCGCAAAACATATTTTATCTCTCTGCTTTCTTGCCGGCCTCTGTCCCACCATGTCTGTGGTTATAAGAAACCCAGGATAGTAGACAAAGAGAAGACGCTGCGTTGTTGTTCTTGTCCCGAAGCGCCGCTTTGGCGGACGTGTAAGTCACCGAATGTGGGATATAAGGGAAAAGAAGAGAAGAACGACGATATCTCGTCAGTATCCTCGTTGTACCTTCCTGGTCAGGGCGAAGCCCCACGGGGAGGGGGGGGGGGGCGGGAATCCAGGTGTATGGCTTTTTGCAAAACATCAAGTGGCTGATGTCGACGGGAGGAAAAGAAAATTTGGCATATATAAGTGCTCGGTTTGTCGTCTTTCCTATTGTCCAAACCCTCCAGCGCGATGCTCTCATAGGGTAGAGATCCCCGCCATCCTCCTCTCCTGCGTCCTGCTTCTAAGCTCCACCACATGTGGATCTGGTAACGTAAAGCAGGACGCAAGGAGAAGACGCGGTGTACTTGGAGTTGCAGTTCCGTATTGGATGGTTGGCCTTTGCAAAAGCGTCAGGTACCCGGCTTGGAGGAGAAAAGAGGACAAGACAAGAACGACGATGTTTCGTCATGATCGTCGTTCTTGTCATTCCTCCCAGGGCCAAAGCCCCACGGGGAGGGAAGGAGGGGGGTGGGGGGTATCAATGAAGGGCATTTTGCAACGCGCCAAGAATGGGACATGAAGGGAAGGAAAAGAACAGGTTGCCGTTGATATTGTCGTAGCATATTTGCTAGCACCCAAAACCGCCGGCGAATCAAGCAGCTTCTTCACGAAGTCTGGAAGCTCTTGCTGCGGTCGTTTCCCTCCTGTGAAGCCATGATGTATGTTTGCATAGCCGACGGATTGTGACGCGGAAATGGGATGGTGGAGGCGAGAGCGAAGGTGGAAAGAAACAAGGGAAATAAGATGTGGTAGAGATTCCCACGCAACACCCGGCCTTTATCTGCTGCTCCATCATTGGTCCCTCCCCGGAGGAAGTAATAATAGACTGTAGTTGGAAGACACCGTGGGTTGTTGTTGTCTCAATGGAGCTCAGGTGCGACTGGTTTGACGACGTGTCAAGTATTGGACATATCAGGTTGAGAGAATTGATATGTCGTCTTCGAGAGGGCAGAGCCCCACTGGGACGTGGGGGTATGTACAACTTAGGACGCGCTTCTTTGACGTGGGCAAAGAACGGCATGGCAACGTCCTAAGGACTCGGGTGAAGGTCGAGGAGTCGGCGGGTGTGATGTACCTTGGGAACACGGGACAGAAGATGAAGGGCGTGCGTGAAAGGATTCACGACGACGGCGCGTTTGAAGGTTTGTGATTGATTGCTCCACCAAGACGGCAGTGTTCGGGTAAGTAGGTTTTCATCACGCTTGGCCTAGGCAAACGGAAGCCGTATTTTGTTGTCTTGCTCGCCTGACCTCTTATCCGAATGGAGTCATCGTGTATAACCCTTCTTGGTACAATCGGCATCCTTTCCCTCTCCTTAGCCGCCAGTTACCGCAGTCAGGTTCAGAGGCTCGTTGTATCGGAAGTGAAGATCAAACACCAAAGGCCACACCGCAGTGGCACATCGGAGTTCTCCCTCCTAGTCGCTTGGCTTTATGATTCTGAGGCTCAGCCTTATAAACACTTCTTGTTCGAAACCTGATTGGTGTTGAAGGCCATCGCTGCGCCATGGGCAAGGTGTCTCCCGCCCCTCAGGTAAGGAATGCCGTTGTCCTTAGGCTTCCTCAAAGTCTGCCATGTCGAGAATGTATAGGGCATACCCGCCAATCGCAACAAGCGGCGTCGCTTTTGTGTGTTGCGATTGGCATGGGGTTAAAGTGAGGGCCTTGAAAACAGACGAGTGGTGTCTGGTTTTGTGCTGGACTCGCAAGCCACATATTTCTCAAAGGATATGAATATCCAATGTTGAAAAGGTTGAATGGCGTCTAGTTAATTTATCTCTTGTTAGTGAACCGCTGTGTTATTGGAAGTAATATTGATTGATAGACTCACGATGAATAGGTAGATACCATGAACCCAGAAGTAAAGAAGTTTTCAGATATACTGACATAAACTAGAGGAGAATGAATGAAAGATCAATCATTGACTCCTTGGTGTAGGTGGCGGTGAAATCTGACAGAAGTCTTTCTTCATGACAGGTCGCTCACGCGTCCCGAAGAACGCGTGAGCTTAGGAAAATTATTGTCGTTATAATGGTTTCGATTTATTTATAATATTTTTGTTCAAGTATGAAGAAGGAGAGGGTGTATTGTCATCACCTACTAGGCGTTGCGTTGCCCAGTAGGTGATGTACAATATTATGAATATTGTGAATATTGAGATTTGGGCTCTGGGGAAAATTGGGAAGAAGGAAAAGAAAATAAAAAAAACCTCCGGCGAGCTGAGTTTATATACTCATCGGTACGTTGGTACATGCTGAGAATTTTCCCCTGATGCCTTACGGGATACCATATAATGGTGGCTGCCTGAGTCTTCACCCTACCGCAGAGGCCTCAGGCACGCCTCCTGACACACAGCGCACAAAAGATTGTGAACCGCCTAAGCATACCTCAAAACCCCCTATAGCAAGGACAGCAAGCATTAAAATAGGTGCCTAGGTAGCTAGAAGACGGTGGCCTATATATATATATAACCCTAACCGAACCCCCCCCCCCCCCTCCCCTCCTTCGACAGCACCCTCACGCACCCTACCGCAGAGGCCTCAGGCACGCCTCCTGACACACAACGCACAAAATATTTTTGAACCGCCTAAGTATACCTCAAAAACCACCTATAGCAGGGACAGCAAGTATTAGAATAGGTATTTAGGTCGGTGGCCTATATATACCTAGCCCTAACCGAGGCCCTCTCCCCTCCATCGACAGCACAAATACACAAATAAAAAAATCTTCAAGGTAAACAAACGAACGCGTAAACAGCCCCACCCCCTCCCACACAACAATCACGTAGATCAGGTAGGTAGGTAGCAAAAATCCTCGCCTCTGGCATAGGTGAGGAAGGCAAATAAAGGGCCTCTATTTGCTAGTTAGACGAGAGTGGCAAACCGGCAATCCCAGGGGGAAAGGTAGATAGGTAGTAGACAGGAGATATTAGATCAAGAATCGTATTGGTATCAGCAATACGCGTAAGAGATGAGCTGTGCTCAGTAGACAGTAACGCCCATAACACGTAGCAACAGCCGCCCACCTGTTTTACTACCTAGTATGCCGTATGCTTCAACTCCTAATTGGCAACTCTGTAGATCAATATACCCATAAGCTCTAAGCCCGCTACCTAACGTGTATCTTCTCGTTCTCGGACCTGTGTCGTATCGGCAGCCGAAGCTGTCCCTAACCCGCTGGACGACTACCAGATACCTATAGCCACCGGGAACGAGTAGAAGGAGCCCTCAATTCACCCTCATGTGTAGGCTCCGACGATGAACTGTATCGTGGCTCGTACTACGGAGTTTTCTAGTACCTAGATACCCAAGAAGCTTGCGCGGGAAAGCCTCATAGCTACAGATCTAGTTCTACCTAACCTAGGCTAGGAAGAACCGGTGGGCAATGCTGGTGGCGAACGCGAGGAAGAGCGTGACGCGGCTGGCTATCCGACACTCAATGATTGCTGTTTAAAGGGAAGATGTACGTCTAGTTGAATGTATTCACGATATACTCTACTCTAAGCACGACCTGATTACCATTTCTATGTATTTTTCTTTCTATATTATCGTAAATAGTGGCATGATACTTAACTGTAGTTGATATTTGGCGTAAATCCATTGGCGTTAACCGGCGAGATGGTGTCATCTGGCAAAGGAAATCACTGTCCGCCGAGCACAACTCTCAGAGACACCGGGGCGTACGTTAATACCTATACATATGCTTCAGATGGTATTTATGTAATGAGTGACGCAAAGGTTTGCTTGCTTGTGACTACGTTAACATCCTTCATTGGGACGTGTATCGTAGGACAAGAAAGATAGCAAGAGGTGATCACATTGAAGGCGGCACGAGGAACAATACAATGGCTTACCTACCTATTTATCCAAGTAGATATGTTAGAGAAGCAGCTGAAGATAGCTTACCATTCATGTTTATCACGGTAGTCAAGAATTACGGGTGTCAAGAGTCACGAGAGCTAATAATTACGAGAGTCAAGAAGCAGTTAAACGTGGAGTGGCAGGATTCGTATTCACAATCTAGAAACACAATCTCGAAATACAATCTGGAATCACCAACAGTTCAGTACATATGAACTGGGGTATCATTAGAGATCTCGTTTCGTAAACCGATACAAAGAACAAAGAACATTGAAGCCCCTCGATTGCATCCATCACACAGATACCCTTCAAACATTCTTCTTAACTCATCCCTATAGGCAAGGGGAAATGAGAAAAACATTCTGAGAATCATTCTCCATGCCAGCCCTAACGACCAAAAGATTAATGCTAAGAATGTATAGTCCCCATTACAAGAGGGGGGAGAGTATCAGAACCTTCGCGAAGTCCCTTCAAAGTGTCGTCGTCAATCTTGTATTCCCATGATCCATCCGTCAATAATAATATAATCATCCTTGCAGTGAGTTGTTGAGTAAGGTTATAAATATAGAGATGCATTATAACTCAAAGCAAAGAGAGGATAGACATTGGACCATGAGAGCAATAGCGATGTCGGTTCCTTATTGCGGGCGAAGAAGCACATAGAATTGCCTAAGTACGAGTCGCTATCTCGTGCTCTTCGACTATAACAAGAATCAATTAATTAGCATATGCAAATGATAAAAGGGAAGAAAGTATTGCATGAATGAAGAACTTACCAAACTCGCGCTTGTCGCCACGGCGGAGTGCGGTCCACTGGTTCCAAGCGGGACGCTCGGAAGAGGGAGGAGCGGAATGCTCAAATGATGACAAGTCGTCATTCTTAACAGTAGTGGCCATCTCATCCTTGGGAGGAGGAGTAGGCTCGAAAACTCCGCGAGTGCCAGTAACTCGAGACTCAATCTCTTCGTTGGCAGCAGTGGCGGTAGCAGAGGAGGCCGAGTCGGCGACCTTAGCGTTCCGGCTCTTGCGAGTACGCCAGACGAAAACAACGATAACCGACAGGATGACCAAAATGACAGAACCGGTGATAATACCGATCTCAAGACCGGATGGGGCAAGGTGCTGGTCATCACCAGCTAGGATGGCAGGGCTAGCACCTCCATCGAGAGGAGCGCCTGCATCATAATGGTTGTCATCGTCGTTATCCGGGATGGGCGACATGTTGACCGATCAAAACAAACTGAATAAAATTCAAGGTATGCTTTGGTGAAAGTGTGATAAGGAACGCTGACTAGATTATTAGTCAAGGCGTTGATGAATGACGAGGATTATGTTTGTTCGACGTACTGGGTGTTAAACGTTGCGCCCAGTTGAACGGGGAACAAGGTGATTAAAGAATTGAAGGTCGTGGTTGTAATTGAGAGGAAACAGGACACGAAAGGTGGGCGACGAGAGCACAACAATAAGTGTTGTGCTTGTAGGCGGCAGATGGTAGGTGACTAGTACAGAGATTACTGAGTAACCAGAAACTGTGTACTATGGTGAAGGAAAAAAAAAAGAAATAAAAGAAGGAAGAAGGTGGGTGTGTAGGAAAGGAAGAAGAAAAAATAATAAAAGAGTTCGGCGGTGCTGATTTAGTAAATAGGGTATGGGGACATGGGGAGAAGTAACCAAGACGTCGAGGAAGGTACGATGTGCCTATGTATGTTGTAGGTCAACAGCGGTACTTGCCCAAGTTATTCGAACCTGAGGAGTGAAGATGTAGTCGCTAGCGTTAACGAAGGTGAGGTAGGTACATCCTTCGGTAGGCAAGGCAGACACATATATGAGAAAGAGCGGTTGACCCTTCAAAAAGCATGTCAAGGAAGGTGCTCGCTCGGTTGGTGCCTTAACCCCTTAACCCCTTAGGCAACCCCTGAATTGTGGGATCCATTGACGCTATTTACAACACTTGGTATATAGCATATTGCTACTGTGTATATAGGTACCTATCAATATATGACTACAAAGAAAGACTAGGTACAGGCAGGATGAACAACATTAAACTTACCTATGTATGCTATTAGTGACACTACATATGTAGGTAAGTAGGCATATTCCTATCATCTCTCAGGCCTGTCATATCCAACACCTTCAACTAACGATCCTATTGGCCATCTGACCTAAGAAATGCCCCTAAAGGGAAATCAGTTGTGCTCTGCTAATCCAAGGTCCAGGCTCCCCATGATTCGTCGAAATATACATGTACTTCGAACGCAGTATCTAATCTCCATGTACCTATCTTAGGTATCCAAAAGAAAAGAAAAAGTGACGTACAGAGACGCGGCGCCAGACGTCGGCAATGTGCCTACCCGTCCGAAGCACCCCATCACACCCAACGGCTGCGACACCCCTCGCCAGATCAAGCCCGCCAACCCCCAACAAATAAACAGGTTTCGTCCAAGATGGGGTAGGTAACCGGTAGCTGTTACGCCTGGCTGAAGTTTGGCCGGCCTCGACCGTGTCAGTCACACCTGTGTGAGGTATAAATACCCAGAATAGGAACTGCCCTCACCACCTTGGATAGCTTCACAAGCACCAGCTGTCTGTCGTACCCTTCAAGCGTTTCCTCGTCTTCCCCTCCTCCCACCCCTCCTTGCCTCAGGGGCAGAGTACCTACATATCTAGATGGTCATACCCATCTCTTTCCTTTCATTTCTCTTTCTTCAAAGTTCTCCTCGTGCCTTCTTGGCAGTTGCTTCACTCTGCCGCCTCTTTCCTCCCGACTCATTATGATCTGTCTGTCCATGTCTCGGAGACTGGGCAAGACAGCAGTTGAATACAATGAGCTAATCAAATCCGATGTCTCAGTATCAGCACCAAAATAGAGATTAGTCGCTTCGAAATCCGGGGATAGAAGTTTCGGAAGCGGGGTCTGTAGGTAGGTAGGTAGACTAGAAAGACAAACTCGACTCGGCCGTTTATTGTCGATTCTGACAACTACCAAGCATTCTTCAAAGGAGCGTATAGTTGCACACACCTGTTTCGGCAGCCGAAGTCCGTCCAGGTTTAACCATTCCTACCGGTGTGTACACTGTTGCATACATGTAATGCACTTCCAGTTTCAAAGCAGGCCATTGCATATGTAGTCAATGTATGTTACCACATACCTGGGTAATAGTCGCTCAACAAGATCGCTCGCCACGGAGTCGAACTCGACTCTTCATTTCCAAAGGTTGCTTGCTTTGATAGCGGTAGGTCTATCCTCGCTACACTGGTGGTTATCCTAATGACCTCGTCGGCAAACATAACCGTGCGCTAGTCCACTGAGTCCATACCGCCGGGTCCTGCACCTGACTCCTAATGTGGTTCGCGAAGCACGCAGTGATCCGATGGGCCAGATGGAATCTAGGTCAGGGGGTAATAAATATCAATGATGTGTTCCACATTGATCGCCGTTTGCTAGTTCACATCAAACTCCGCTTGGTTCCCGAAATACGATTGTAGGTAAGCATGAAATCCTCTATCTGCGGAGAGTAAGCTTAGTATATCCGTAGAACCAACGAATATATCCGTCTATACCCCTCCAAAGACGAACTCTGCATAGTTAGGTTAAATAGGCGATACCGAGCACCTGACACCTTGTTACACGTGTACCCCCAACATTGACCATCTCAAGCGGGTTCAAGGCCATCGATGTCTTGAAGGACAACCGACCGTACCCCACGCTTCTAGAGGTACACAGACTAAGAATCTCTACACATCTTTGAATATCGCTTGCTTACACCGAGAGCGTTAGCTACTTTGGGCGGGTAGTTAGTATGTCTAGTTGGCGTAGGTGCCTACCTAGGTAGGCGTATACTCACCCTCATCCTTCCCTTAATATTTCCGAAATATCGTCCATAGCCCCCAAGCATCACAAATGAAGGATAGGGAAAGCCAAGGTGCGCTGCGCTGGATCTCTCCATCTACAAGCCACCCTCCAATTCGCATCATTTCACTGGCCCCTTATGGCAGGAAGCTTATTTGGAACTTCCATCAAGATATCCATGGCTGCATAAACGGTGTGCTGATTCGTGGTATCTCATAACCCTAAGTAACCCCCAGGGAGAGATATTGTTTCCCATTTTTAATACCATAAACCTTTGACCCGTCATGTTGCCGTGTTCCACCCCAAAGTCTACCTAGTAGGCACACAGTCTATATTCCTGACTTGCCGATATCATGAACAGACAAATGAAAGTCCCGCACGTACGTACCGTACCGTAGGAACCCCGGAACGTGCGTATCGGATCTTGTACTCCATGGAAGTCTTCGTAACAAATGCCCAGAAATATGGAGGTCCCCAAACCCTTTGAATTTTAAAGGGAAAAAACGCCATCCTGATGCAATACCCTCTTTTGTTATGCTTATGTGCAAATGTAATTCAATAACGTAAATAAACAATAAACATCTAAGCCCTCTGTTTTCGAAGCACCGAAGCTCTCTGGTCAATGGTATTCGTTGAGAGCGGTCGAGTCTTATCCGACGTCAATGTTCTTGTTGCTGCGCCACTCATCGGGGACAACATGGTCGGGGCAGACATCCTGTGCTGCATGCTGTCTGTGTGCTTTTGCAATTTTCCACCCCTATTTGCATACACCGTCGGTATCTTCTCACCTGATTCGGTACTCGAACTTCTGTCCATCCCAAGGTCCTTTCCCTTTCCCTTCTCATCTACCTTTTGCTTTCGTGCTGGTGTTAGGGCTGCTAATATGGCCGCTGGAGATAGGGATGAGCGGAAGGTAGCCAAATTATCTGCTGCCGATTTCGTCTCATCCGCCACCATGAAGGCTATTCCGCTTAGGAGAGAGAAGAGAATGACGATAGTACAAATGGCGGCACCGGCCCGGTCGCCTGTAGAGGTTGGCCCGTAGTACCGTCCAGATGGGTCGATGCGTCCCTCGTCGGAGCCGCCTGCGGATGGGTTGCCAACGCTGGTCCCGCCGGTGCTGTTGGTAACTGGCGCTTCGGCTTCGTGGATCATGTTAGCCAACACCACCTCCATAGCAGCCATCTGCTGTCCAACGCCGGTCGTGCCATCATAAGTCCCGCTATTATTCGCCCACTTGAATCCGCACATACGCTTATTGCTACCGCCCTGGCACTGCTGTGCGGCTGCCACGGCAGAGTTCTGTAGCAAAGTTCGAATGCGATCGAAGGTCCAAGGCGCCCATTTCGTTGTTGCCGCCATCCATCTACTCAAATAGGCCTTGAAGGATAATTGATCGGTATCACATAAGTTTACTGGCTCACACGCGATCTCGATCATGACTTTGTCCGCAGTGTCGTTTCCAAAGAAAAATATGTTTTCGGTACTGTTAAGTATTCCGTCTACACGTTCGTGCCACATTCCTAGTTCTTCTGCCTGATTCGACTTGTTCGCGTATGCCGCCATAGCAGCCGTCCCAAGGAGAAACGCGCCGGGGTTGTACGAAAACTCATAGGGGGTAATGGTCGAGCAATTATCACCGATATGCGTGCCATCGTAAATCCTATATGTATCACCAATAAGTTTGACAGCGACCATCCAGTCCCAAGTCTTAACAGCCCAGTCAGCGTAAGTGCTATTTCCCGTGTAGAGTGCCAGCCGCGCAGCAAGGTTGAAGAAGCAAGCCTGGGAGATAGAGTTCTTATAATCGAAACCGTTGTTCCATGTAAAAATCTGCCATCGCAAGCCGCCGTTGCAATTTTCCGGTTCCCATCTGGCAGCTTGTGTGTTGAAAACGGCCTGTGCTAATGCTAACCATCCTGGCTGGTCTGATGGCGGATCAGGAAACTTGTACTCGGCTGCGGACATAACAGCCATCCCCCAAAACCCTTGATCATCGTTCCCTTCAGTAAGTGTTTGGTTTGGGGGCATATAGTCATTGTAAGGGCCGACCTGATGTAGTAAACCTTGCATAGCGAGCTCGTTGTAAGTAGTGTCTCCAGTATAATACCAATAGTCAATCAATGCACCCATGAAAGCACCTCCTTCCCACCAGTAATATGGTTGCGGGAGAAGGCCCGGAGTTTGTCCAGGTTCATTACCGTCATAGAATGACACCAGGTCCTGTGCCATTTGTTTCGCTATAGTCTTTATAGAATCTAAGGTTTTTGCAATGAGAAGCTGTACAAATGTGAATATAAACGGCAGGCTCGAGCTTACCTGTAGATTGGACATCTAGCTCGTATGAGGTGACTAGACTACCAGTCACTAAGAGCGTGGTTGCTGTGAAGACAGCATTGTGCCAAGAGTGCCATAACCACATGGTGGCGATTCAAGGTCAGCCGAAGGTTGAATCGAACATAGAATTAGAAAATAGAAATTCTCTACGGAGAACCCGACATTGCAATACTGTAGATTCCCAGGGATTAAGTTGACAGGTAGACAGGTAGGTGGGAAAATGCGTAGACTGATGGTGATACAGAAAAGAGAGACACGAGCGTGTTATGTTCGACACTGTATTACCGGTCAAGAATGATGACAAAGAATGAAGTCGAATAGACACAGTCTCATTGATTCGTAGTGAGGGATATATGAGGAATATAAGGAATATAGAAATTATAAAATGTTATAAATATCGATTATAGGTATTATAAGAATGTGAGATTGAGAAGCATATAGGGATGTATGTATGTTCCAGGTTGTAATAGCCTATGGTTTAGGTGGTGAGCATAGAGAGGAAATCACATTCCTAATATCTTACTATTATTCTCTTCAATGCACCTTATCCACTCTCGCTAGTAGAGTCGCTACTAGGTAGACGAGCAAGAGCGTACCTAGGTAGGTAAATAGGTTCAATGTTCGTTCTTAATAGATGTTAGTTGGAGGTACTCGGAAATAACCACCTTAATGAAAATACGAGGAACGGCCCTGCGTATTTCATAGGCCCTAACGGCTAACGGCTGCTGATTCTAGACGACAGGGGGGGTAGGGTCCTTGGTCGTTCGACCTTTCCTCGCGCGTGATAAATATGAAGCGTGCGGCTGGACAATGAGCTCACTAAGTGGATATAGCTGATGCTTCGTGAGTAGCTAGCAGGTAGGTACTAGGTACTGGCCGTACTGTACCTAGGGTAGGTAGCTGGTTTAGGTATTCAGGGCAAGAGCAATGGAATCAATCAGAGTCATGGAGAAAGAACTTGAAGTGACGGGGGTGCCTGCTTTTTAAGACAATTCGCCTTTGTCGACGCATTCCATCATCTTATGTAACCATCTTCTCAAATTTCGTGTTTTGGCTGCTAAGTCATGGCGCTAATAAGACGACTACGTCGTACATACACATCTTTTTAGTAAGATATATAGTAGTTCCTTCGTCTACCATCGCAGCGCCCATAGCCGAAGGAGGAAAGGACCTGAGAATGAGTGACGCTCAATACCCAGTACCTACTGTAGTGACCAATGATCAGGAACATCGGTGATCCTTCTTGCAGCCGACGAACACTAGAAGCGGGGAAAGCCCAATATGTAGGAAGATAGAAAAGAACACCACTAGCATAACCCCATTCTCTCTCCGCGCTTTATACGAGATTCTATACTAGGTAGGTACCTGTAGACATTGACTAGGATGGCCTGATATATTTCATCGTGAAGCCGCTAGGACATACCCGACTTTTGCTATCGGACTAACCTATTTCATTAAATTAGATCTTTAAAATCAATGATTCTACTATTATAGCATGTACTACCTGGCGAGATAGGTCACAGGTGTTGTACAATACCTAGGTGTGTATTAAATACCATAATATGTAGGTAGGTGTAGGCAAAAAGCAAGCAAGAAAGAAGAGTCTGATTGTTACCTATAATATACGTATATAGTACATAGCATCTTTCGCTGTGGTTACCGAAGGTACGCCAACATTGTTTGATTGGTGAGCAAACAGCGCATCTTTGGATGATGCTGTCTTTCCACGCAGCAGTGTCCGTGATTCTAGAGTTGTCAAAGTTTTTAATCGTTTGTCTGGTTTGCTCAAACCCTCTGCGTAGGTATTATACGTAATACTACATATTGCTCTAGGTAGTGAGTGTTACATAATAATTGCAAGAATGTCGCGTCGGATTTATAGAAAAATTCTATTTGTACAATGGAAGTTGAAGGTGGGAGTTATTATAAGCTTCTTGGATCGAAATTTGGGTTGGGTTCGTTCATAAATTTCCCTTCTAGCGCGCTACGATGATGAAACGGATCTCTTACACCCATTGGTGTGGGACTTTGGGCCAGTCCGGAACACCAAACCACACCAAAGCCAAGCGTTTACTATTGTGCACCTACCTAGGTATGTAGATATTCGACATGGACATGAATAACAGAGAGTATATAATATTAGTAACTACCCCTTTTCAGAAGAGTAGAATGTATCCAACCACTACACCATATGCATGTAACATTTCCCCATTGTCAGAGATCTCTCTGATCAGCGCAAGAATGTTAGGGCACGCGGGGGATCTTCATGTATTTGGGGGGGTATTAACGGGACCCATCTGTACAATACAATACAACTACATAAGGTGATACTACAGTATGTATGTAAAGCGGCAAGGCGTCACTAATGATATTATGATAATGATATTGCTAAAAAAGCAGGACATCTATAAATCATAAGCACCACCTGCGCAGCTAATTGAACTGATCTCAGAACTAATTGGCAAAATACGCCTTAGGCTGCTAGGTACGGGATTTAGTAAACTTGTGAGAACCCCGACGGCCATGTGGCCTTGACGTCAGGTTACGAAGTAGTCGGCCGGAATGCACTCTACAGCGATTGTCGGCATGTACTATCCATGGATGAATGTATGTACTGTACCTAATCTGGGTACATATGTAGTTCAACATTGATGCTGTATTAGCTATGTATGTATGCATTGTACATAAAAACAATGATGCTGAATCTACACAACCCACCGCATCTTGGCATGCTCGGCTTCGGAAGATTTTAAACCATCGACGATCTAACTGGCGTACTATTCGATATAAGCGTATACCTAGGGAGGTTAGTATATTGCCTAGGACATATACGACTGTGGCTTGTCCATATTCTTACGTACCTCTAGTCACCTAAGAACCGGGCAGCTGCCCATATGCCGCCCTTTCAATTCACTGTGCCACATAAGGATTACGCATGCTAAATACCTTTGATGCATTCTGTAAAGAATTAATGATTTATTTTCAAAAGTGAAAAGGTTAGGCATTTAAATAGAAAGGAGGAGTAAATGGTAACTGTGAAGTCTTCCATCTATCGTATGGATGTATTTGAACTATTTGAAAAAGCAACATTGAAAGTACTCGAGTACGGAATAACCTCAAGTCTAAGGTCTTATCTAGTTACCTACTAAGGTACTCTGAGGTAGGTAGGTACTAGGTATTCGACAAAGAAGATTAATCGCACTAACGAGGATACTAACGGGGTTCTATTTGTGTCTTGTGTCACCTGACTATCTACTTACGGTCTCCTGGTTTTTGTTTTTTTAGCCTTTCAAGGTTCCATCACTGGCACATGTTCCTTGTTGTTGCTGGCTTCAATTGGGCTAGGGTGTTTCTTGTAGCACAGCCGAAAGGAGTTGTTGCCCAGTTGCACAGGTGTTTTTTATTATTTTAGGCGCCCCAGGGCCCATTCAGGTATTGTACCTTCGTACCCCAAACTCTCCAAACTCCCCAAACTTCCCGCAATTTTACCCTTTTTTAATGTTCAAGTTGTTCCCAGGTGCCCTTTAAGTTAAGTTACCTAGTAACTAGTTAGTACCTAGTACTTGAATACAATACAACACATGTACCTTTTCCCTTAGCAAATATCCTTGGAACCAAGCGTCTCGGATACGACTCTCTAACCTTTTGCAACTCTTTCTTACCCTGAAATTCCGACCTCCCTCCAACCTCTCTTCTGCTTCTTCCTCATTTTCATCTCAAACTTCTTCGCCACACGTATACCAGCAATTCCAACTGATTCCCATCATCATCGCGACGAAAAAACTATCCATATCCCATTTATTCGCCGCTATTTTCGACGATTCTCAACTTTGTTGATTCCATCGAACAACCTCAACTAAACTAAATCCATCCGTCAATCATCTCCAAAATGTCGAACCAGGAGGCACCCTATGACCCGTATATCCCCAGTGGCCAGAACGGAGGCCAGCAGGGTGGAAATGCCAGAACTCAAGCACTTCAAGCAGTAAGTTTGTTTTATTTTTTATGTTTATATCATTAAGAATCGATGGTTTCGTTCCTGGATCAACGATTATCGATGTCCGACGAATGAACTGGACCGACCGCGACCGTGCACGGGATGATGCGACACCTCTCGCGCCCAAATCCGTTCATCTACTACAGCCGGAGCGACGATCTACAACGAAAATCCATTGGTGATATCCTCTACATCAAGTAGGAATATAGGAAGAGATGGGTACGGGTATAACTACAAATTATATCGTTTTCCGATAGCTCCAACAATCACGATATACCCCTCAATGCGATGGGGTGCAGCCTACTGTTGCACAATTATCCAAGCTGTTACGCTACTTTTCTCCCCCGGATTCCGCGATATAATAAGGATCGCAAGCTACGATGGATTTTGTTGTTGTTTAAAGGAGGAAATTGGCATTACGTACATTTCAAGGGGACAAAGAAGCTAACATTCTACTTCGTAGCAAATTGATGATACTGTCGGTGTCATGCGAGAAAACATCAACAAGGTGTCCCAGCGTGGTGAACGCCTCGATGCCCTACAAGACAAGACCGACAACTTGGCCGTCTCCGCCCAGGGCTTCCGACGTGGCGCCAACAGAGTTCGCAAGCAGATGTGGTGGAAGGACATGAAGATGAGGATGTGCCTGATTGTTGGTATCATCATCCTCATTCTCATCATTGTCGTTCCCTCTGGTAAGTTGAACAATATCTATCTACTTTGATACAGAGAGACTGACTAAGTACTGTAGTGCTTGCGGCCCAGGGCAAGATAAACTAATCCCGCATCTGTACACACGCCATTGGGTACCTGGATGAGTATAAAATTAATGGAATGAACTTGATGGTACGAATGAAGACTTTGAATCTCGCAGGCTACGAGCAACAGCAGCAACATTGGCGACTCCCGATCATCGAAGAAGATGGTTTGTTTTTTCTTTTTCGAGGATCGGGGTCGCAGAGCACAGAGAGGAGTTGTCTTTGATTTGGCCGGTCTTTCTTTGGCAATGCAATGCAAATGGAACGAAATTCGGAAGGCTTGGGATAAAACCACTGAACGATGCCCGACCATTACGACGCCCCCCAACGGTGGAGCTGTGGTGATGGTGAAGGTGGATCCGACTTGTATGTATGATGGCGAGGCGTTTTTCGACTAATTCAAGATATCTTATGACTCCCCCCGAATGTTCATACCTCTGATGCGTTAAGGAGTTACTATTTCTTGATCGATCCGCCTACAAACTTGTTACGTTACTTTTATGATCATATCAATGTGTTCTCTTATCAATCGGAGGGGTTTGCCATTACCTACGTGCTACTCTAACCTGGGACTGTGATACGATTCCTTTTTATGTATCTAGGTAGATTAAACGTCACGTTGTAAATGTGGTCTACCTATCTGCCTTCCTAAGTACCAATATGGACGCCCAGACAAGTAAACCCCGAATCAGAACAGTATAACGGTATTCTGAACGCTTTGGGGTCACACGGATGACCCCTAATATGTAAGCTAGGTACATGTTGAGCTTCCTACGGAGTAGGCACTAATTTGAGGACATCACATTAAGTAAATTCTATCACCGTATATATATTCTAGGTGATAGCATGTGGGTAGGCATTCTTGATTCATATATCTACGTAGGTACTTGCCTAACTATGTAACTTACGTACGTGCTAATTCAAATATTTTGAGCATCTGGATAGCGGTGCCGCGTCTGACGCAGCTTCTACGCACTACTATAGGTACTTACATCTAACCTAGATACTTATTCCTAGATGCCTAGGCATGTGTTAGGTCCTTTGAGGGAGAGGTATATCGCCACGAAAAAAGGAAGCCTCGTACTACGTACGTATCACATCACAGACTCTCTCTATTCCTTAGACTCACCAGGACTGCCATCACGGCCAGCCTCTCAATCGCTCAGCGCCAATGTCGCCGGCACATCCTCGTCCTCCCCCACCCCGCTATAGCGGGCCAAGATGACGACGGCAAGAATAGCCAGGGACGCGACATCCACGCGCCCACGATCTCTCACGGTGGGGAACCGAGCCCTGCACGCGCCCGTCTTCATGAACTGGAAGACGCGCACCGCGAACGCGACAGCGTGGCAGTTGTGCGCGGTCTCGGGCTCCGTCGCACGCGCGGCGCGCTGCCAGAGGTACGCGAAGCGCGCGGCCATCCCGCCCGTCGGGAAGAGCTCCTTCTCGAGCAGGAGGCTGAGGCCGGCGTCGACCTGCATGAGGCGCGCCTCGGACGGCGGGCCGTTGCTGCTGCTGCTGCTGGCGTTGCAGTCGGCGCGGTAGTTCCGGACCAGCGCCTCGATCTCGGGGGTCCGGATGAACGCGTCGAGCTCCGAGGGCGTTAGCGTGAACAGCGGCGCGACGTGCTCGAGGACCCGCGGCTGGTTGTTGACGAGGTTCTGGGTTCCGTCGTCGCCCGCGTAGAAGAGGTCGTGGAAGAAGTGCTGGGCTTCGGGGCTCGGGGGGCGGGGTAGGTCGAGAAGCCCGCGGAGCAGGCCTGGCTCGAGGGTTAGGCTGCCGTTGGCGAGGAAGGTGGGGTCGAGCTCGAGTTCGTCGATATCGATCTTTTCCAGCTCTTCCAAGGATGAGGTCTCTGGGATCTGGTCTAGTTCCTGCATTTTTTGAAAAAGATGGGTATCTTTCGTTAGTTCTCTTTGTGTGGGTTTCTTTTTTCTGATAGAATACCTATGTAGAATCACGAATTTTTGAGCGCTGATCGGAGTGATTCGTTGCTTGAGTCCTGATGGGAATCCTTTGTAAAATGGGAGCACTCTGAAATTATATAGACAACGATGACCAAGCAACGGCTTTGTTTGATTTATTGTATTGCCCTTAAGTTCTAAGACAATCGAAATCAACACGACGAAGACAACACAAGGCTTTTGATGGATTACGATTGAATCAAAGGGTAAGTTAATGCACCTTAAGGTCTAATTCTAACGAGCTCCTAAATAACCGAGATGGTGACTTTAGCAGATGTGTATACCTAGTAGGTATTAAACTCATCAACACCTAGGAGGATTACCCCTTTCACCTTACCTATCCTAGGTTTATATCAGTTCACATTCCAAACAGCTACAATATGACGCGTCACAGAATGTAGACATGATGATGATACACCTTATATCTAACCACTATCTTCTCACCTTTACCCCTTAACTTTTGTGTGTGATGAATTACGAATACGCTTAGTCCCATCTTGAGATGGACGCAGACCTCGAGTCAGAGAAATCGGGGGTCGGTAAGCGTACGATGAAGACGAACTGGTATCTTCTCTAGTCTGATGGCTGAGAATGGTCATCCGAAGCCTAGCTGAGACCTCATGATCGTGGCAAATGAGGGAAATGAGATGAGAGCGGAAGCCGAAAGAGGAGGCCACAGCGGACACCCGAGTAAAGAGAGAGAAGAACGTAGACGTGTGTGGCCTTATGACCATGGAAAATCGAACATACCCGGCTGTATACAGTAATATCCAAATTCCCGATGATGCAGGTTTTGGAGAAAGTTGGAGACGGCGATTTCAAGTTAGTATATTTTGAATCCTCTCTGGTGTATTTTATGTATTTCATAGTAGCCGAGATGAGAGGAAGCTCTCACAGTCCACATCTAAGGGTACGGCCATCGTCTTATACAAAATGCAGGTGTGTAACTTCGGTTCGTGTTATGCCGGAGGAGACGAATCCGGTTCCACAAGCACTGCCCCTTCTGCAAGGCCGGCAGGTGAAATCGATGCAGTCAAGGGCTCGTATGACTTTCAAGTTCGCAGAGGGATTTTTGGAATGGCTGGTGACTTGCCTAAGCTTATAGATTGATATTAGACGAGCTGAACAACTCAAGCTTTTGACTGGTTGCTAACTGTGCCCCCTTAACTACAAGGCGTCATGTTGTACTACGGAATGGCTGTTTGTATAACCGATTTGGTCGATGGAGGTGTGACTCTTAGCTTTATTATTGCTGATCCACCGTTCTAGAGTCTTTGGGACTTGTGGGCTCCATGAGAATGAAGCGTAGTGTGTCCCGGTATGCTGAATTGGGAAACTCCCTACGAGAGGGGGGTTGTCGTGTACTTTTCTGGAGGATGATACATTAATATACGTTGAATGCTGCGTCCCTATCTATGTCGGCATCTCAACAACTGGCAGTCATGTTATATTAGATATTATCAGGTCTCCATGCAGGCAAAGACAGCTAGTGAATAGCAAATTCTGGACAGGTTTATAGTAGGGAAGGCCGGACTGAGGTGAAAGAATGCTTGGCCACGCAAGGTACGGTGACGAAGCTTTTGGATTTGCTGCAGGTCGAAGCTTGGAAGCGAGAGAGAAGGCGCCAAGATTGATGATGGTGTGTAGATGTTACAATTCGATCTAGACAGAGGGGTTCAGCTAATGTGCATATACATATAAATGTAGTATTGTAAATATGTGTGGGTATGTATAGGTAGGTATCATTGATATTGAGAAGGATAGTCATCTTCAACCGGAAACAGCCAACTTGGTTAGGCTAGGTATGTAGTACATGGTAGTTATGAAAGACAAGAGAGTACTTGAGTCACTTGAGAGGTGGCATGTGAGATGATGAAAATGATAAGAAAATCAAATGCTAACGTTACTAATAATTCTGTGAATTCAAGCTACACACAAGGCTAGTGGGGTCTAGTTCTTACCTAACCTAACACTACTAGGTAGTATGTGCATGTAAGTATTCCAGATGTCTTTGTTAATCCCTATAATTCAATTACAAGGGATATTTGAGGTACTAACAGGGGTTAATATAACTATTGTCTGCCAATGCTAATTCAAGTTGCGGTTTTCGGCGAACCAAGATTTTTTTGAAGTTTTTTTTTTTTCTTTTCGTTTCTCGGTCAAATGTGGAAAGTAGGTACCTTTAGTACTATATTTCACTACTCTACCAGGATAACACTATCGCGGCGACTTTATTTGCCCCTCCACATAATTGTCTTACAATGTGAACTTCACAACTTCACTACTTCACTTTCTTAATAGCCAATTCAGGTAAATAAGTTCATCTTTGTTCAATTGGTGCGCCTACTTCACTTGTTGTACACAGTACTTCTTCCTTAGGTGCTTCTTATGTCCAACATATTCTCTTAAGTATTTAAACTGACTCACTCGCCGTCTGACTTTCTAGCTTCTCTCCCTCCCTTCCGAGGTCTCTCTAGGCTTCGCCGACGGGCAGCTTGATTCTCGTCTCCATACCACGGCTTTATAGGCCGTGGAGGAATCAATTGAGCACATAGGCTTTTATTCGCTTGCTCTCTCGTCCAGCATGATGCTGTCAATGCGCGCCGCGCGAGTGGCCATCCGGGCCGGCTCTCGTCGAGTCTCCCCCAGGGTTACTCGCCTGTCTCCTGCGATCGCAACGAGCGTTTCCTTACGAAATCCGCAAGCCGCCTACTCCTCTGCCCGATCGAACGATTCCACCACCCGTGCTGCCGTCATCCAGGTTCTTAATAATGTCGGCTCTAAACGAGAGGTCCAGCAGTACCTCTCTCACTTTTCCTCCGTCTCCTCCCAACAATTTGCTATCATAAAAGTCGGCGGTGCTATTTTAACCGACTATCTGGATGAACTCTGCTCTTCTCTATCGTTTCTATACCACGTTGGACTTTTCCCTATCATCGTCCATGGCGCTGGTCCCCAGCTCAACAAGCTCCTCGAAGATGCGGGCGTCGAGCCTGAGTTCGAGGAGGGGATCCGAATCACTGATGGTAAGACATTGGGCATTGCAAGACGGCTCTTCTTGGCCGAGAATTTGAAGCTGGTCCAACGTCTAGAAGAGATGGGCGTCCGCGCCCGACCAATTACCTCGAGCGTCTTCACCGCCGATTACCTTGACAAAGAGAAGTGGAAGTTCGTGGGCAAGATCACCGAGGTCAACAAGGAGCCAATCCAGACTGCCATTGAGAACGGCTATCTCCCTATTCTCACTTCCATGGCTGAGACGAGGGAAGGACAGGTACTGAATGTCAACGCCGATGTCGCAGCAGGAGAACTAGCTCGTGAATTCGAACCATTAAAGGTCGTTTATCTCAGCGAGAAGGGTGGCTTATTCGACGGCAACGTACAAAAGATTTCTGCCATTAACCTGGATGAAGAGTTTGACCACATCATGTCCCAACCGTGGTGCAAGTTTGGGACACGATTAAAGATTCGGGAGATCAAGGACCTTCTAGAAACCCTCCCGCGCTCGTCTAGCGTTGCCATCATACACCCTGCCGATTTACAAAAGGAGCTCTTCACTGATTCTGGAGCGGGTACTCTTATTCGCCGGGGAGACAAATTAATTACTGCGGAAAGTGTCGCTGACTTTAGCGATCTTGAGAAGCTCAAGGATGTGCTTGTCCGGGATCGTGAAGTCCGAGACGCTAGGGCTACAGTAGACCGCTATCTAGATTTCCTGAAGGGAAAGAAATTCAAGGCCTACTTTGATGAGCCCATGAAGGCTCTTGCCGTCGTCCTCGATCCTGCTCCTGACCAATCCTATTCAACATTGGCTACCTTGACGATAACGAAGTCGGGTTGGTTGACGAACGTCGCCGACAACCTCTTTGCCGCAATCAAAAAGGAGTATCCTAGCCTTGTGTGGACTGTGAAAGCTGATGACGAGAACCTCACGTGGTTCTTCGACAAGGCAGATGGCAGTATCGTTAGGGGCAATGATGTTATGTTCTGGTATGGAATTGAGCCGGGCGACGAGCTGAACAAGCTCATGCGGGAATTCACTCTCCAGGGCCGGGCAATGCTTGGTGAATCCAATTTGGAATCTCGTCTCCACCGGGCAGCCCAGGTTGCTTCTGAGAATCTACGAGCACACTTTGCCTCCGGTTCCGCAGCTAACCAAGCCCGAGGTTATTCCACCCATGCTCGCCGTTCTGTGTCAGGGGCTATCCCCACAAATGCTTTCTCGCGTGGGTCGCGCCGAGGTTTCGCGACCGAGACCAATCCGAACCCCCCGTATGGCAAAAAACACGCTTCCAACACACAGCCGTCTAGGGTGGCCTTGATAGGCGCCCGAGGCTACACTGGGCAGAATCTAATCAGTCTAATTAACACGCACCCTAACTTCGATCTTCGACATGTATCTTCGCGAGAACTAGAAGGGCAAAAGTTGGAAGGCTACACCAAAAAAGATATCATTTATGAGAACTTGAGTTTCGACGATGTTTACGAGATGGAGAAGAAGGGCAAGATAGACGTGTGGGTTATGGCACTACCAAATGGTGTGTGCAAGCCTTTCGTCGACGCCATCAACAAGGCCAAAGAATCATCTACTAGAGAAGACCATAGTTTGATTGTGGATCTTTCAGCCGATTACCGATTTGACAAGTCGTGGACATATGGCCTCCCAGAGTTGGTGAAGCGATCACAGATCGCTCAGGCCACTCATATCGCCAATCCCGGTTGCTATGCAACTGCGGCCCAGCTCGGCATCGCGCCACTTGTGGAATATCTCGGGGGTCAGCCCACCGTTTTCGGCGTTTCTGGTTACTCAGGGGCCGGCACCAAGCCGTCGGCAAAGAACAATGTGGAAATTCTTACCAACAATCTTATCCCGTACAGCTTGACGGATCACGTACACGAGAAGGAGATCAGTAGCCAGTTGGGCGTTGACGTTGGGTTCATCCCACACGTCGCAGTCTGGTTCCAGGGCATTCATCACACTATCAACCTTCCTCTCAAGAAGACTATGACGTCGCGCGATATCCGACAGATTTACCAGGACAGGTATGCAGGGGAGAAGCTAGTCAAGGTGGTGGGCGAGGCACCGCTTGTAAAGGCCATCAGTGGGAAGCACGGGGTGGAGATTGGCGGGTTCGCGGTGCACAGTTCCGGGAAGCGCGCGGTGATTTGCGTGACGATTGATAATTTACTCAAGGGTGCTGCCACACAATGTTTACGTAAGCTCAGCCCCTTTTCTCTCTCATCCTCTTGCCTTCCTACATAGCAACCTCCTCACGCTATATAACACGTTACTAATGAAAAATGACAGAAAACATGAACTTGGCTCGCGGGTATGCGGAATTTGAGGGTATACCTCCAATGGAATGAATAGAATAGGGGAAATCATGGTTACAGCTCGCGAAGAATTTCAAGGGAGAGATTCTTCCTTGCTTCTCTTATTTATGGAGGGGAATGAATTGAGGTTGCAGTGATAGGAGATGTCTATGTGCGTGTGTGTGTGTGCATGTGTGTGTCTGTGTGGTATAAAACTTGTATATAGTTGGATTGGAGGTCATGCCGGATTAAAAAAAAGATTACATTTATGAAGTGATGCTAGGGCGGACATATGAATGTTGAAAACCTTGAATAGGTACACATTGTAACCTACATGTACTTAAACCTAGACCATATGCAACTTATAATGCAAGTACTAGGTAGGTACATATCGGGTTCTGCCGACAGCATTGAGTTCAGTCACCAGACGCCGTTTGATTTTTGAAGGAATGAACCCAAACACCGAGGCAGCTGCAAGGTGAGGTATTATACTAGTTAGTGGGGACAAATTCAAAGCTTCAATCCCCTGAGTGTCAACCATTGGCATAAACCGTGAAGCATGAAGCATGGATGTCATGTCCATGTCCATGTCCGATGGCGGATGGCGGGGTGTCCTAGGTAGTACTACTTAATAGCAATTATTGGTGGGGCAAGTTTTTTTTTTAGCACGAATTGATCTCTGAATCTTCTATAACTAAATCTTGAAATCCATAAATCGACAAGATTTGACTCATACATACCTATATCTTAGTATATACGATAAATTGGTTATAGATCGAATACTTATCACCAATACCTAGGTTCTTATAATACCCAATGGCTTCCCCATTCCCAACCAAGAAATGCGGCGTCCTGGGCTGCACTGGCTCCGTGGGACAGCGCTTCATCCTACTCCTGTCGCAACACCCGCACTTCGTCCTCCACGCCGTCGGGGCCTCGTCCCGGTCCGCGGGAAAGAAGTATAAGGACGCCGTGAGATGGAAGCAGGCGTCCCCCATGGGCTCTGTCGGCGAGCTGGTCGTGCGCGAGTGCAAGGCCACTGAGTTCGCCGACTGCGATGTTGTCTTTAGTGGGCTTGACGCAGATGTCGCTGGTGATATTGGTATGTTACTTCTTGTCCTTTTTTTTTTTTCTTCCCCTTTATTTTTCTGTTTTTTTACCCTCTGAAACTAACGTACGGTTACCTGTGTGTAATCAGAAATGGAATTCCTCAAGGCCAACCTCGCCGTCTTCTCCAACGCAAAGAACTACCGCCGCGACCCCCTTGTCCCCCTCGTTGTACCTACCGTCAACCTCCCACATCTTGACCTCATCCCGCACCAGCGCCGACACTACGGGCTAGAGAAGGGCTTCCTCGTGTGCAACTCCAACTGCGCCGTCATTGGACTTGTGATCCCCTTCGCAGCGCTACAGGCGCGCTTCGGACCCGTCGACACCGTCAGCGTTGTAACGATGCAGGCTGTCTCGGGCGCAGGGTACCCCGGCGTTAGCAGCATGGACGTGCTCGACAACGTCGTGCCCTTCATCTCAGGCGAGGAGGACAAGCTCGAGACCGAGGCCCGCAAGATCCTCGGCACCATCTCCTCCGACGCCACCGCCCTCAACGACCAGCAGGACCTCCGCGTCTCCGCCGCCTGCAACCGCGTCCCCGTCCTCGACGGCCACACGGCCTGCGTCTCCCTCCGTTTCCGCAACCGCCCCGCCCCCTCCGCCGAAGATGTCAAAGCCGCTTTAAGAGAGTACGTTAGCGAGGCCGAGACGCTCGGGTGCCCCAGCGCACCCACACCCAGCATCAAGGTCTTCGACGAGCCCGACCGTCCACAGCCCCGCCTCGATCGCGAACTAAGTCGCGGATACACCGTCAGTGTCGGTCGCGTGCGCGAGGACGACAGCGGTATCTTTGATATCAAGTTTGTCGCGCTTAGTCATAATAGTATGTTGTTTCCGCTCTCTTCCCTCCACCTCAACCTCTCACTTAAATCCAATTCTTCCCGATTGAAACTTATACATACCTACTGGGAATCACATTCACGTTTTTTTGCTGACCACCTACCGCGTATCTAGCTGTCATCGGAGCTGCCGGTTCATCTATATTGAACGCCGAGGCAGCAGTGCTTAAGGGGTTGATTTAGTTTTTAGTCAGTAGACAGACGTACAATTGGGGGAAAGCACCCTTTATTTTGCATTATTGTGGGCGTTGTGTTGTGTTTTTTTTTTGTTTTTTTTTTTGGATTTATTCATGTATGCATGCATTTACCTGAGGTAACTGTGCATTGGGGGGGGGGGTTGATCAAAAAAAAGAAGAAAAGGGGGAAGGAAACCATAACTATTCATAGAGTACCTATTTACTTCGTACATACCAGACGATAACTATGTATATGGTAGTTACCGACTACATTTACAATCCACAATTCACAATTCACATAACTAACTGGTTAAAGATAAAAAAGAAATCCAACATTGAAGGTAATCAATCCCATGCATTCATTCATAACGTTAAGTCGTATTAAATTACTTCTTCATCCACTCCATCCACATCCGCATCCGCATCCAATCCACGACGCACACCCGGCTAAACCACGGTAACTAGCCCAAAGACCCACCGCATCAACCACCCCAGTCAGTCCCCCATCTCTTAGCTATATAACCCAAAATTTCGTGGCGAATTTCCACCTCGGGTACGCCTTCCAGGAATGGAAAGCACGGACTACGGCAACCGAATAACGGTTAGCCCCAGTACAACAACTGGCTTCGTGGTCTAGCGGTATGATTCTCGCTTAGGGTAACACCCTATAGCATAATATGCGAGAGGTCCCGGGTTCGATCCCCGGCGAAGCCCATTCCTTTTACCTTTTTTCTTTTTTTTGGTCTCTTGTCTTTTTGGCTATGTTTTCACGGGCGCAACTGGTTGTTTGTAATTGTTCATAATAATTCAGTTATGCTGGGTAAGGTAGGTAGGTAGCTTATAGTTATGTATGCATTGGCACAACTAAATATTATGCGCCTCCTATTATAACTAGGAACAGACCCCCAGCTACCCTCAAGATCTGCAAGTGTGCCGAGGGGGGACAAGTCACGAGGTCCTTCAAATGTCTTCTTTTCAAGGCCAATTGTGACACCAGCTTGTTCGAAATGGCATTCGCATAACTCCCTTGATTGGCTTGTGCCGGCTTAGGCGGGAGTGATGTGGATATCGTTCCCTCCTCCCGCTTAGGTACCCTTCTGGCGACTCATCTCAAGGTCGTGAATGAAATTGTCGACTTGCTTTCCATCTGCCATTGGTGCCCTTTTGCTTGTTCTTATCACCGCGGGGAGCTATAGGCGGTGGATTGGGGGGGCGGTTTGGTGGTACGTTGGCACCCGGCGTTACAAGATGCGCTAACCAAGTTGTTGATCGGCTTGAACAGAAGATCCGAGTCCTGTTCGGTTCAGATAAAGGTCCGACGTTATGTAGCTGAGTAAGGAAAGGAGAGGGACGAACGATACGGCGTGTCAGACGTACGTGGCTTCCTGCTTTCGGTATTGGAAGAGCTGAGAGCCCAAGGCCTAAAGATGAGCTTTGGAGCTGAGCTGGATCGAAGTGGAGATAGGCATTTCAACTGTCGGTATGGGTTGGGCTCCTGTCTCGGAGCCTCTCTGAATCTGAGTAAAGTTAGGCTATTCAATTGTTGGTATAGGTTGGGGTTCTATTTCGGAACGTTCCATGATTGAAAGTCGCCTACTTGGTCGAGGGCGGTTGTCATCTCCTTTTCTTCGAGGCATTTCTTTTATGGCATTTCACACACGGCGAAGTGACATGAGTATAGGTAGCTTTTCTTTAGAAAGAAACCGCGCCCAGTCCCTCATCTGTTGGTGGTCATTCCGAAGGAGTTGACCATCCGGTCGAGAACAATTGCGCTGGGAAAGCCGGCGTACGTATGATTTTGACACGGTCCAATGTTGATGTTGAAACGATTGTCGGAGTATCGTCAGCACACTTCGCGTATGTCTTTCAAATACTGTTGGTGGAGGTTGTTTTGAGGCAATTACCAAGTCAAGTCATCGCAATATGACTTGGCTGCGGTATCCTGAAGCGAAGCAGGGCATCCCATCTGTCGTTAGAGGTACACATATGCGTTACTGTTTTTTCGTCTTCGGTGAAATAGACTTCTTTCCCCATCATTGGTATATCTCTGTAGACTTACACCAGCCTTAGTGTATGAAAGGGCAGTCGACCTAGATCTTCTCTGGCTCCATTTTATAGACAGAGGTCTATATGTGGTTTTCCAACGTTATGCCGAGTTCCCCCGTCGCGTATAATACTTTTCAGTCCTTCGCAGTACCATAGAATTTAGAAGCCCCACGTCGGCTACAGCAGCAGCACGACCAACTCCCGCCATTGAAATGGTCATCTATGGTCAACCAGCTAGGTGGGGTGTACGGAAGCGTTATTAGTATTTAACCCTCCCCCCGGAATTGGGCTAATGCACCATGCTAGATGTACCATATAGGCGTAGCTTCTTCGCCAGGTGCTGGATACTAAAATCGTCCAAGTCGTGGGCCATGCGGCGTGGCCCGAAATGATGCTTCCCATCGTGCTTGTTTCTGTGGTGCCGTGGCCACACTCGGCGGGAGACGCAAAAGCTGGAATGTGTCGTCTCTTCTTGTCTGAGGGAATGTACCTGTGCCCACGCGAGGGACGGCAACAAAATCTTGGAGTCGTGGGCATAAGCATCCTTCCGCAGGCCCGAAGACGCATTGAACGGGGGGGTTCCGGCCCAAGCGTATTTCGAGTGATATAGGCCATGCCTCGCATTGGATGTACCTATCGACCTTGCTTGGCCGCTCGCAAGCACCGCAAACACCTCCATGGCTATCACTATCCCCTTCCACTAAGATTTTCCCCGGTTGGGGTTGCCGTCTGTTGTACGGGTAGGCTCCCTGCGGTACTTGATATAAGTGTGCCACGGAGATGACATTGTGTATCTTCCAATGTGAAGGTATGTTGACTTGGTATGTCAGAGGGTCGACCTTCTTCAGAATGGTCAAAGGTCCCACCCTCTGGGACCACTTACGCGGTGGCTTACAGGGTAGGTTTTACCCCTTGTGTAAGCGCAGATAGACCATCTCGCCAATTTTGAAAGAAATTGGGTGGTGTTTCATGTCATATCTGGCTTTGGCTTCCGCTGCGGCGAAGTCTATCGCCTCTCTTGCTTCTTTCTGGTATGTTTCTCTCAGGATGTCTATGTCGGTGTCGTTCAGTGGTACTTCTAGAGCTGATAAAAGAGTCTTGGGTTTGAATCCGTATATCACTTCGTTGGGGGAACGGCCGAGGACTGAGTGTTTGGAATTGTTGATATTATGTTGTAAGGGGGTAAGTATGAGATCCCACTTCTTCGGGGATGTTGAACCAAAGAAGCGAATAGCAATTTCTACCTATTCCACAGGAATCTGACGTCTTTGAAATCGAGGTTGATACAGGTTAGGCAGGCTACGGAAACACCAGGCCGCGCCTTCGAAGCAAGGACAGAGGGAAATGTCAAATCGAATCGATTCAGAAGAGAAGACTTTGCCTGGGTGTAGATATAGGGTACGAAATCCATGAGACCATCCGTGTTCATCCACAAGGACTGGGATTGGAGGGAAGTGTAATAGGCCTTCTGCCATGTTGGCGGTTGTCGTGGAATTGGCTTGCTGAGTATATATATATATACAGTCTCACCAACATTGAAATCGACATTGATGATGCTTAGCACAGGACATTGTTGTTACGTTCGGCTGTTCCCTGCAGGTCTGCATGGTCTAGATATGTAGAAGCCAGCATAAGATCGGGTGTTCAGTTTGGCCAGGTCCACCGACCGAAGGTATGTTCGGTTGATGACGACTTCGCGTGTCGTGCGGTGGGCATTTAGGACCACGACGGTCAGTTCACAGGATTGTATGTGGGCTCGAAGATTCCGACACGTCCAAGGGAGGCGTGTCGTCTCGAGCTCTGTAGCTTGATATCTGCGATCACTGAGGCATTCTTGTGGGCTGTAGTTGCGGAACGCCTGCCATAGAGAACGTGAACAAATGTCGGTCATCTGGGTGGAACTCGATGGCCCAATATCCATGTTTCAAGTCGAATTTGAAGTATGACTCAATACTCGGGTCTGACAAGAGAGTGAGCAGACCAGTCTGAGAGGACCCAGACGCCCCCAAGAATGATTAGGGGCTGTTGCTCTTTTCTCACTAATCTCCGTTACCTTGAGGGGTTCACGATAGCAGAAAACAGGAGACAATTCCATCACTGAGAGGTAGTATACCCAACCCCTGTGTGTGGCAGCATGCTGAGGGGTATGAGCTACGCCGATGCCGACGTCAAATGGAGCAGAGCTACCAGATGTGAGGGATCTACCGTCTATCCAGGACACAATGAGTCGACATACCTGGCCTATCCCCAGCTGAACATCGAGTAGCATGAGTACTTCCAATTGTCTGGAAGTCTTGGAGCGTCTACTCGCCATTTAATCAGGGACAGGCCGCGGAGTGGGAAAGAGCTCGACTTGTAGCGAAACCGCATCTTCTTGCTGTGGTTTCTCTTCACTCCACCCGGCGGTGTCGTGAGTGGTATCTTGACGCAAACCTAGTTCTGCAATGGGTTGTCATCGTCATCATGTCTGCCAGGTTCTCGGCATGCGTCCCTTTTCATGACTTCCACCTTTGAACAAGGTATGCCAAGATGCTACCAATTTCCATTCCGGTTCCTCGACTGGTCCTGGTACTGGTATTGTTGGTGACGTTTCCTCTGCCTTGTCATCGTGATTCAACACTGACTTCAATCGCAGTTCGTCGAGTGACAGCGGGTGACGCTCGTCGTACTCGTCCACCAGCGTGGACGCATTTTGACTCGGAAGTTTTCTAAGGCACTATTGGTCGTGCGCTTGTGAGTAACCCTTCCATCTAACCAGGTATTCCAGTTTGGGTTAGGACTTGCAAGCACCACATCACCTCCATGGCTATGGCCTTGTCACCATAGTCCTCTTGCCTCAAGCACCTCTACCATTTGTTGGACTCAAACTGTCAGAAAACGATGAAGAACCTCTCGATCGACACCTAGGTCTTGATTCCGAAGCCCTTTATCTCATCCGTGACATCCGATTGCCAAAGACACCCCATACCAGTCGTATTCCCATAGGCCTATGCAGCGTTAGCGATGATCTATATATTGAGGCCCTTTTAGGTTCCGCTTGGGGTAAAACAGTCAAGATGAAGAACCAAGAGCCTCTCATTGGCATAAAATAGAGTCAAGTATATAGGATCACTAACCTTGCGTCTGTGGAGACGCAGACCAGGCTCGCAGCGTTGGAATCGATCTGCTAGTAGACGAGCAAGCGAGTTTCTTGGATTAACTAGCGAGAACCCATATCGTCCATCGCGCTTAGGCAGTTCCACTGCGGCGAGGCGCTGTTCATCACCAGCAACGGCTCTGAGCACGAAGGCGATGGTGCCATCATGAAGACGAGCCGCGTTCAAGTTCTTGTGGTGAGTCATGGCAAGTTATGGTTATGATGGGAATGATTGTAGTAATGACTATTGTGAAGACAGCTCAAAGAGAAGTGATGGTGCTCTTGCCAGAGCCGAGGGGATAGAAGTGTGCGTAGGTGCTTTATTTATCATGGGATATTCTTATACCTATAAGTTGATAGCCCATTTGGTATTGGGGTATATAGGCACTGTGAAGGCACCTGCGTAGGAATGCAGGTGTAGGATGCCAAGTGTAGGTGAGGGGGGTGAAGGAGAGATTGGAGAGAAGGATGGAGATGTGGAAAGAGAGTTCACTAAACAAGAGACAAGGTTTGTTGGTAGGTAAACAAACTCTCAATAGTCAACATCAAAAAGTGTAAACAGTCGAAGGAGGGCAGGCAGGTCCATGTGTCTAGGTAGGTGGGTGAAGAGATGTTGGTAAGAACGATGGACTGATGACCTGATGATGGTCTGACCAAGACAACTAGGAACCTAGAAGTTTAGTGACTCAAAGCTGAAGTAATAGATGCAATGAAGAAGGAAATGACGAAAGGCAAGAAGGTGAAGGGTGAAGGGAGAATGAAGGATGCAAGGTGAGCAAAGGTGAACCGGAATCATGTAAATCATTCCATAACAAAACACCCCACATCTCGAAACTCACTTACCTTAGGTAGACTATCGCGAGAAGGTCGAAAATGGACATCAAGTGCTGAAGCTCTAGGTACATCCCTCATGACTCTGGCCTTGTGTTTACCTAGATAGCTTCTCCAGGTGCCTATGCTTGACATGATATGGAAAGGTAAGCAGGAGGTAGGTAGGTAGCAGAAGGTGTTGGTGCTGCCTAATGTTGGATGTGATGGAATTTCACCTACTTGTAGTGAACTTGTAGGTATCCCTTATGAATAGCTTCCCCTGACTCAAAAGAAGAGTATATAGTCACAATATTGGTATGAATGGGAGGATGACAGTGAAAGTGAGAAAACGAGAAGGATGGAGTCATATTGAGAAAGAAAGAGTGAAAAGCAGCAAAACAACAAAGGTATATAGGTAGGTCGGAAAGTTGTCGTCATTTACTACCAATTCGTCATCGACTCCTTATTGAGAGTGACCCTCACAAACACCAATGCCTCCAGCTACTACTAGGGAGGTCGTATATCCATGTGTACTTAGTATATGGATACTGATAAACACCACTGGACAATACGCAAATGTAATCTTTGTCGAGGTTTGAATTTCTCATATTTCTTCTGCCTACTACTCTCACTGTTCTCCCCGTCTCCATTCACTACACCCTTTCACCTTTCTAACTCTATCATCATGCCTATCATTCCTACCCCCTCACCATCTATACACCATAGCAGCCTCGCTAACCGTCTCCACGATCAGCTGACAGCTAGTACTGAACACAAGGCTCCCCGACCGAACAACCAACATAAACCCCGAACCGTACCGTACCGTGGTACCAAAGTACCGGCCTCCATGTCCCAGGATACAACAAAGCAAAGAGATTGATGAGTCTAGAAAATGGAGAAAAAGGGGAAAGGAAGCGCCTTGATGCATTGAATCCTACCCCAGGTATCAAACACACACTCAAAACAAGCACGCATCCATGGATGCCAATGATAAATACCAAGAGCAAAAACACCCCCCCAACGCAGTAGAAAATGCGTGATGATTTCGTGAATGCCGTTAGAGCGACCCCTGGATATGAGTTATGATGCCGAGAAAAAAGCTCCTAAAATGAAAATGACTTGTAACGGGATCCTTAGCAAGGGACCCATTCGCTTGAATAGCGGAACTTATGTGCGACCGTGTAGATAAAAAAAAGGGGGGCGGCCAAATGCCCATTACGTAAAAGCTTGCTCGCTGAGCGCTTCGATGGCTCACTAAGTGTCTATGATTTCTATCGCATATCGGCATAAGCCAGGCGGTATTTTAGAGCAGGGGAGCGTACGAACTCCAGATAAGGTACATAGGCTACTTCATCTTCCTCGAGTCGAATAATGTTAAGCTTAGGCTTGTGTCGTTTTCGCCGACGTTCGGAGTGGGTTCGTTGAGGATCTCCCACCTTCTGAATACAAAAGGTGTCAACTTTTCGGGAATCATGCTCATTCCCATACCCATCGCCATCGCTCTCCTTTCGTGAAGCCCTGGTGGAGGTCTCTCACGGTGTGCCAACATGAAATCCTCTGCTGGGTTTGGCGCAAAGCTGAACAAGTACCTGATTCGAGGATCGGCTGTGGCATCCTTTACCGCACGCACGCATAATTGGCGCGCCTCGTCAGATAGGCTATCAGCAAGGGCGAGTGCAATATCAAAGGCTTGTTGTCCGAGGCTGGAAGATGGATGATTGTCGAGTTCCTGAACCAGGCCAGCGAGAACTATCAAAGCCCGGGCACGAATTTCGCCGCCAGGAAGCTTCGACATGTCTATGGCACTCGCGGGGGGGGAAGTGAAGAGGGTTAGATAGGAGAAGAGCAAAGGGAGCCAGTGTGAAAGTACGGCGCTCCTTAATGAAGCGTATGCACCATGCCTAGAGGCCAGGATATCCCACAAATCGCCGATCTTGTCTACCAGAGCGCTCGAAAGCGGAGTGACCTTTGGGCCTGCTCCTCCGCGGAATATGGAATCAATGACGGTTAATAAATTCTCTGCCATGTGTATATCCTTATCGAAAGAAGCGTCTTCGGGAGGGTTCTTTGCAGAAGGAATAATATCAAGAAAACGCGACTCTGCTCGGTTTCTCATGTGCTGTGTGATATCAGGACTCAGCGAGGGAAGCATGCCCGTCCACATGATGTTATTTGCGTCAATGGCATTATCAATTGCTTTGGATAACAGTTCAAACTGTGACTGAAGCTTCTCCGAGCCCTCTGGACCGTTCGAATCATCGGTGGCCAAGTTGAGAGATAATTTGACTTGGCAAAACGGCAACGTGAACTCGTTCGCTAATTCCAGAACCTGCTCAAAAGACTTTTGTCCACCCCCACCGTGAGGTACCAGCAACTTCGTAGTCCAAGTCTCGATTAGTGCGGCTAACTTCGGATCAGGAGCTTTCAATGAGAGCGTCTGGCTCGCCGCATTAGGGTCGACCAAAACTAAGCCTCGTAAAAGTTCGAGTAGTTGGGCTTCGGTCTGCTCATCATCGAGTGGTTGAGCGATAGACGCTTGCTGATTACGAGAGGCGGAGTACTCTGCCAGAGCCCCGCGGATTAGGGGCATGATCTCTTTGGCATGTTCGCGTCGAGCACGATCTTGGACTATGTGAAAGCGGTAGCAGTCCTCGGAGGTCATTACTGTACTCGGACTATACGGCATCATCAACATCTGCAAAATTTCTTGCATGTAGGTAGAAGCAGAGCCAACAGGGCTCGGCTGGAATTGGGTAGCTTGAAGCTGACTCCTTGGAGCAGTCGCAAACAGAATGGCGAGGGACAGACAACCTGAGCTGACGAGGGGTGGGAAAAGCTGGCCAATAGGGGGTCGGTTCGTCAGCTTGCGAATATGTTGAACCCAGCTTCTCATAAGTTCGCCAAAATGGTGGATATCAAATACGCGTAGTCTCGTGAGAAGGATACAGCAGAGGCGTTGTCGCTCATCAGCTTTACCCCAATAAACCTGCAATTTTTTAATGATCGCATAGAACAAACGTTCCATTGTCGGTCTATCGGCGCTTGTGTAACTGGCAAGCTTCTCAATCTGCTCGCTCAATTCTGTCTCGGCGTCTTGAAGCTGCGTAGCCATGTTATCAGATAACGGCGATGAGGCATCCGCCGCACTGCTGCGGTCTAATCGAGTCAAGTCGTTTTGTAATTGCGTGGCCACGTCCTCCAAACCGGTCAAACGCGGAGCCAAATTAGCAAGAGAGGCGAGCAGTGGACGCGCTCCAACACCTTGCTCTTCTAAGAGAGCTTTTAGCCGTTCGTAGAGCGTTTGGAAAAGCGACTTGGCTGCCCCAATTGCAGCGAATACAGGTAGATGGAGATTAATAGTATCGGCGTAGCACGCTAGGAGTTCGGCATTGGAGTATCGCGTCATGACTCTTATGACATTCTCGAGCATGGTATAGTCCTGGCTTGCTTCGAGGAGAGTCCGAACCGTCTCGAACTTAGGTTTGGGGAGCTCAACGCCCCCATTACGTGGCTGCAAATTTTGGGCAAGCTGCCCAATAAACTCATTGCTGAGCCATGAGGAAACAGTCGTCTTCAAGCAGCGGCTGCTCAGTTCGATCCGCTTCGATAGCTTTTTGAGGCTCATAGGTTTCCTATACAATAAAGGGTCATCAGAGCCTAGTGGAATCGAAAGCGTAGTCTTGACACAGCTTATTGCCATTGACATGTCCCTTGCCTCGTCATCAACCGCAAAAGATGCCCTTCTTAGTAAGGTTGCTCGTAAGTTACCCATTGACTCGTTGAGCGAGTGAACGGGAAGCTCAACAAGAAGTCTCGTGACACACGGTCCATCGGGAGCCGTGTCGACAGGATCTAAAACAGCGCCCCTAGCTATGAGCCATTGGATATACTGGGGAACAGAGAAATGGTCGGTTCGAGTGAGTTCGGACACGAGATGATATACAAGTTGCTTGCGAGCAAGTTCTCTAAGCGGATCGGCGTCGAGGAAATCTAGGATGGCTTGAGTGATGTTAACATCGGCAGCCGAGGGCGAACGTAGGAGCGTAGCCGCGATATACACCTTCGCGATGCCAGGTCGATATAACGAAGTACACCATTCAAGTACAGTTCTCACGATGGAGAATTTGTTCCCGCTAGCTTTCCATAGTTTTTTTGGGATGGTGTCGTCGAGGGGGGTTCGGTGCATGCTATCAAGCAGCTGTACTACTATGCTTCGGAGAGCAGGCTGCGACTTAGCATTGGAACTCGTTAAATAGTCGTTACGTGAGTCTATCGACTTGAACGCATTTAATCTCGTTTCGCTATTACTCGGCCCAGGTATTTCGGCTAGGGAATCGCGATATCGAAACCAAGTCCCGGGATTAATCAGGTTTTCTGGGCTGGTTAGGAGAAGAGATTCTACAAGAGATTGTAAGCGTGTGGCAAGGGGTAGTAGTAAATCGCGATCAGGATGGTAGTATATCTGTTTCCTTGGGTTAGCTACCTGCGTCAAACGAGGCATGATTAGAGGAGCATACAGAAGAATGGTGAGCAAGGATGGCGCTGACTAGTCGCCGCCCATGTCTTCTTAACCTGAGAATGTCTTTCCAGTATATTTGTAGAATTAAAAGCCACATAGGGAGTTTGGCTTGGTTGCTGTTTTCCAGGCCAGCGACTAGCCAGTCCATATAATGATCGCGGTCTAAAAGATGTTCGGCGTAGAGATGGGTAGCAAGGCGAATGCTACGAATCGTTAGTTAGCAAGAGTGAAGGTCAAGGTCTTGGGAAGTAGAATCGTCACTTACGCATAGGTCACTTTAGTTTTCCAGTCCTTCTCGCTAAATGCGTTAGAGACAGTCTCGACAAACTGTTCGACAAACAAGGTCCAATCTTTAATCCATTTAGATTCGCCGCCCATGACGAACGTGCCATTGACTCCCTTTCTCTTGAAGGCCCGGATCTCGTTTGCGCCGACGCATTTCGCGAGCCAGACTGCACGGTCCGTAGGTACATTTTTATTTAGACACTGGTCAAGTAAGACCTTGCCACGAATTCCATGGGGTATGGTTCGGCTGAGGCGTCTGAGGGAGATGGCAGGGTTCGCAAGGTCCTTAAGCCAGATCTCTCTCTTCGTGTCAGTCAAGGTGACTCGGGGCGGGGGTTTGAAGGTAGAGGCCGAGGTGATTTGGCCGCTATGTCTCCTTTGATTCAGTATACCCGTAAATATGGTAGATAGCGTATGAAGGCCGCTCTTATGTTTCAGTGCGGGGAACAATGGAGCTTTTGCCGATGCAGGCTCTTGCGTGGACTGTGCCGGCGCCTTGTCAAAGAATCCATGTCTAATTATACTATCAGAGAACCCATCTTCTGGATGTCCTCCATTCCAGGGATAGAAGTCGGCATATCCTAAGCCTGAGTCAGTACACGCATGAGGTGTGATACCCTTATTTGTGGGTTTACCAGTGGGCTCTGGTTTGACCATAGCCGAGTACCGAGGGGCGATCGACGGTGTCTCGAGGACAAACGGTTTAGGACGAGTGTCTTTCTTGGGAGGCGGGTTTGTGTTTGTAGTGAGGGGTTCTGGCCGCTTCGTAGGCACGACGAATCGGGCGCGGCGAGGGGGCATAGGTAGAGGAATCGTGTCATCATCGGTGGTGTGGCATCGTGAGGTATGGGGAGTGGTATCACCAGCATCAGAGGCGTCATTCATGGACATGATCCGCGACGGGGTGAACGCCTTGTTAGAGGAGAGGGCATCGAGGTTTTGGGGGGATTCGCTGAAGCCAGGATGTTCGATACCATCGTTGGCCAGTTCGAGTTTGAGCCTCGATCCTCCTCTCCGAGGTAATGTGTTAAAGCGCCCCTGTGCAACATCGCCAACGTCGGTAGACTGGTCGTTGAAAGCCTCCGTTTTTCGTATAGGGGATTGGGGTAGAAACTGTTGCGAGAGATTTCGCTGATGGGTAGGGGACTGCGACAGCCCCGAGCCGCTTAGAGTTCTCTGAGGCTGTCGCGGAGGGACGGCCATAGGGGGCCGAGAGGTCATCGCGGGCGAGGAATATGTTGATGCGCCATGTCTTTATCGTGGTCGGGAATGATTATTGTATTTGGATAGACTAGGGTATTATGGGGATAAGAGGCATCCGAAAGTCGAGTCCAGGGATGCGATAAAACAAGGCTCGGATGCCGATATACGACTACTAGGGGTGGGCTATGTATAGTTTAGTTAGAGGCGAAGTAGAGCAGAGCACAGCAGAGCAAGACCAGGCAAAGACGAGCTAGAGGAAAGCGGACAAGGCAAATTGAATGAGGTTATTGGTGTAGGTAGATATAAGTAGTAGATTTTGGAGTTCGCATGGAATTGTGCGGATGAGGAGATATGATTGATGTATGTGATGTGTGTGAATATGTTGTAGTATGCGGTGAAATGTGAAAGATGAGTAAATATATGATACTGAATATGTCAAAGATATTATTTCTATTACCTCTTATTCCTTCCGCCTCGGCGGCGATACGCTGGTAGCGGCAAAAAGGTAGTCGGGGTTGCGGTATTCAGCGTTGAAAGTAGTAAGATCCATAACATTGAGACTGCCTCAGACTTGGAAGTATTGATGTATTGCCTATTATTCAATGTTCTCAATGTTATTTCTGTACTGTACATAAGTACATACATGGATATGTGGATATAACCGTATGTACAATACCTGGTAAGTGGGTACATATGTATCCAGTAGTATCCAGTATGCGATATATGCGTACAGGCAGGTAGGCTAGCTGGCTAGTCAACCCAGTAGCTGATGAAAAAGTTGATGATCCAGTGTCTCATTGACCGCATCTGGCCTGTATGGGCGGCAGGCGGGTTGGCCTGCATCTGGGCAGTTACTGGTTTGGCCTGATCTGCGTACATTGTAGGTGCAATACAAGCAATGTAGGCATAGTGGGGATAGTGGATACTACCTAGCACGTACTAGCTCCAGCTCCCTACATTTTCTACAGGCATGTAGGTAGCGCTGGAGGTAGTTAACTAGGGCTTCCAAGTAGGACATCTGGGCCTAAAGGGTGGGATCGGAACCGCGGGAAAATATGCGAACTGACACCATCGCATCGCTTCCACCGTAGATGCCTACGGCCCTACCTACCTAGGTCCCTAGCAGCCAACCCAACATACCGTCATCTAGTATCCATTTGAGTTGTACCATTTTCCCGCTTTCTAACGCTATAAAGTACAACATACAACATTGAACATCAATCATCAACATTGAATGATACATTTACAAATATACTTTTTTGCGCACATACCTCCACAGTAAAGGTAAAAAAACGCCACATGCACTTATCAGTGACTGCAGTGACTGCAGAGACTGTCATGCTGGAAAAGCAAAAGCCGGACTTGCTGGATACAGTAAGTAGTACATCTCCGGAGACACTAAACAGTGCTAGACATAACACACATTCATTCATCATCAACTTAGTCACTAGACAAGCTAAGCCTCCCACGAGGACAATTCAATACATAAAATATGCAGTACTCTACTGGTTAATACTGTACCTACCTACTGTAAGTTACATAGGTAAGTGCCATCCTAGGTATTGTACCTAAGGCTTGGCTCAGGAGGTACTGTATGTAAAATGAACCTACCTACGCAGCATCGCGGCTATCGTGGAAATCAGGTTAACTAGTTACACGTCAAAATGTAGTAATGGTACCTACATCACACATACATGTATCAAATAGTATCATCCAGCTCCTTCTCGGCTTCCTTCCAGGACCCAGCGGCGTCTGACTCGGGATCTCAGCAGCTGAGCCTTTTATTTGTTAGGTACGTAGGTATGTAGTTATGTGTTTTAGATGCCGTAATTTCATAACTTATACGAACAGAGCCAATCTCTCCCTGGTCTCGGTGCCCTACCTTCAGGCGTCTCTCTGAGTACGAACGTTGTACATATGTAAGATACGACAGAGAAACGGAGTTAAAGAAACCAAGGTAATGTTGCCAAGAGGGAGTATTAGAAAGGGAAAACCCGAGGCCCTTCAGGTAAACCTTATCTACCCTACGGTGCTGGCCATACGCCGGGTTGGCCGGCTCGGATGTTACGATCCTCTCCCTTGGTAAATTAGAATTTATTAATACATTATTGCATACCCCCTAATCTACATAGTTAGGTACCTGAATTTAGTATGTTGGTATATGTAATTGCAGTAAGGTTAGTTATATAGTTGTTACTTATTATAGAGATTAGGTAAGACTCAAAGAGGCCCAGTAATTCCCAAACCAAGAAGTTGATGGAATGTGTAATGTGTAATCAATGGCGATCACATCGTATCATAAGACGGTGGCACGTTCTACCACCACAGCAGAAGCAGGTTGTGTTTGTTGCTGCGTTGTTATTGATGACGATGAAGCGAAAGAGGAGGAGAAGGAGGAGGAGGATGATGATGCCCGAACTCAAAAAGCAGGTACCTACAATAATTAACCTACAAAAACATGGCATGTAACCTACAGGCATACGTACATACTGTATGTACCTACTGGCCTTGGTAAACGGGGGAAAATCACGAGACAGAACAGGGCAAACGAAACCTTTTTAGGTAAGTAGGATTTATGATTTTACGAAAGGACGGATGCTTTCTTGTCATCGAAGGCAATTCCAACGCCGTCTCGGACAGCCTATTGGGCTTGGCAGACATATTGGTAATTTGCTGATATAGCTAGCTCTCTTTTTGTCATGTCTAAGGCTGACGGTCCTATCAGCTCGCCCTCACCCTGCTATACAGACGCAGGTCATTAATAACCCGCATCCAACATCCATATACGTATGAATGTGTACGTAGGGAGGTTTACACATACTGTATGTATGTCTCTCTTCTGTATCGTATATCTCTGACAAATTGGAGGCTGCCAGACATGACCCCGCAACTAATTGCCGCAACAGGAGTAGATGCGATGCTGCTAGATGCCCACTCGGCCGTGAGCAAATGTCGTGTATCCCAAGTCTACCGGCTTAGGGAGGTACATATCGTATTATTCGATGCAGAATAGATTTCCGTCCGCGTAACATCTTGGGGTAGGTAATCGAGCTGGTAACGACGACGGTGTTGATATAACCGAGTTACTACCTACCTAATAGCTGTTTGCTAATAATTAGAAGCATATGCAGGTCCAATCAGGGTGCCATGTATACTCCTTCCTTATTAAGAAGTTGCTATAAGTGTGAAATTCAGCGAGATGAGCCAGTTGTTCGAGTTGTTTTATGTATGTTTGGATGTGTTTAGTGTCTTATTACCGAGCTTGTTTGATAGCACTCTGCAAGGGGAACCGGAGTTCTGTCCAATGATCATCGGCTATGACTGGCCACCCTAAGTTGGAGGCCGTCCATTCCAATAAGGGGACCGGGAATTCAGAACCGGCTGGTAAATTTCATATAAAGTTAGTATAGCATGACGTTACTGCGTGAAAGTGAATGACTGTAGCAGTCAAATCCTTCCAAAGGAGTAATATGCTCAATAGTTGGAGGGAAATGGGCATTAATGGATTCATCACACCGAAACCTACTTATCCATGGATATCACAACAGCGAGATCTTCGGGGACGCTTATCTCTTTCCAGTTGTCTCATACTACCTACTTGCTATGTATGCGGTTATACCTACCTCTCTACCTGACTCATGAAAGACGATCGAGATTCTTCTAGGTTAGGTTACGCATTTTTCCTCCATCCTCCCGGGTGCTACTTGGGCAAGTAGAATATGTAGTGTCTGTACACAGGTGCATATATTGGAACCCGTAAACCCGGGCCTTGGCCAATATATGAAGAGGTGTCATCGTAAGGCGATACTGAGAACTGATAGGGAATTCTTGACATGATCAACGTACTTACATAATATAGATAATACAAAGTACCAGGTATACTAACGTCAATGGAAGCAACTCATAAGTGCCGATGAGCGAATACCTAGAACCTATCTATCACGGGACTACTCCGCGGTTTCCCATACGTCCACCTCTCATATTTGCTGGTATATCGTCAAAGGATGCAAAATGGGTGACACAAGTAGGACATGTAACACTCGCGAAGTGTAGAAACAAGACATGACGAAACAGTTTGGGAGTGGAGAAGCAGTAGGTTCTATGTTTAACAGTTTAACATAATAATAGTTAGTTACCTAATGATCAAGGCTTGAACCTAGCACTGCTAGCAGCCCCCAAAGCCAGGCTAGTGGAACCAAAAAGGGTTAAGCTTCGGGGAAGCACCCCCCTGTCTAGGGTCCTGCAGGGCGGATCTCAACGACATGGCATCTCTGTTCTGTTCTCTACTCTCTTATTCGTAAATCTGTAGATTGTTGATAAACGAAGAACTTCGATACAGCATTGCCATTATAATCGACCAAGTAAAATAAAACCATCCAAAGAAGATAATCATGGCAACAAAAAGAGATATGCGACGGCCAGACTTGGGTAAGCATCCCTTCCCGCGCATCACATCCCCATTCCATCGCATCGCATCGCGTCGCATACGTCCCAGGCAATTACACAGCTTACCTTAACTAACCAACAAAAAACCTTACAGTCGTCCCGTACCAAGAGCCCGCCCCGAAAGGCGATGGCGCCGAGATCTCATCCACCTTATCTTCCACTTTACCCATGGCCGCCATCTTCACCCGCAACCGATATATCGGGTGGGCCTCCGTCGTGCTCAGCATCCAGAACTGGCTCGGGGAGAGCGAGGAGACTAGCAAGAGCAGCTCCAGCACCCCGGGCTACTTCACCGTCGGCATGTCCTGTAAGTGATATACATTATACATCCCACTATTACGTATCAAATACGTCCCTACAGAGAGAGCCCCCAATCTAACGACTTCACACAGTGATGGCTCTCGCCGTTACCTACCTCCCCATGTTCCTCCCACCGACGCCGGGCCAGCGAGCGACCGGCACCGAGGCTCCCGCCCCCGCTGCCATATAAAAACACGGGATGCTTAATTTCTAGAGATGAGCTATTCTGGGCATCCGTCGTTGGACTCGGAAAACTGGACTCGGCAGTACGGACTCGGCGGTGATGGGAAGGAAGAAACGAGCAATGCATAATCGGAACTGTATGATCAATCTAATGGGGAAGCACGTGTAAAACCTGGAGTGTGCGGTAATACGGTGGTTTCAACAAAGAATCCATATCATTGGGATATGAATAAAGAACTCCGCCGGGCAGTTGATGCAATATATACCTATGTAGGAACCATTGGACAAATCAATCCATGTACAATATTACCCACATCATGGAATAAACATTTATGCCGATAATTAGCAAAATGAAGGATCGTCCATCGATTCTTCTCAACCCCAACGCGACCAAAACCAATCCTTTGGGGATGAAAGCTCTCCCTCTCTATAGCCTATACGGAAGTCGAAAGTTACCAAGCAACCACGAGGAAATGCTTAAGAATGAGCAAGCATTATATACCTAGGCACATCATATATACCAACCAACCAACCTATGTAAGGTAGGTCAGTAGGTTAGGCGAGTAGACATATAATCCATACTTACCTAGGTAGGTAGATGATACACGTAAACATCATCAGACGAAGCAATCCACATACCTAGCCCAGGTAGCGATCAAGCCGGGAGAAGTTCTCGAAGTGAGAGCAAAAAAGCAAAATGCCCTCACGTTCATAGCTCTTTACCCCCTCCCCTACCTACCTCTGGGCCTAACGCACCTTGCTTAGCACCTACCTACCTACCTACCTACCTACCTACTCATCCAGATTAGACAATAGGTACTTACTATGTAGGCAATAGACAGTCCACAACACCCAAAGAAGACGAAGCAAGAAACAAGCAAGCAAGCAAGAAGAAAAAAAAAAGATTATTCATTACTCCCATCCCGGCCTACCCCGAGACGGTTTGAAATTCCAAATTCCAAAGGTGCTCTTCGGAGGTTCCAATATGTACCACACCTCAACTACCTAAAAACCTTCAACAATGCTTTCAACCGCTTTTGAACTCGGTATCGAGAATTTCGAGGTTACTTTCTTCTTTAGACTCCTACTCCTACCCCTTTCTTTGTCTTCATTTACTCTCTTTCTCTTTCTCTTTCTCTCTTGCTAGGTAGGTAGCCAGATAGGTACCCGACTCAACTTAGAAATTATCAATACCAACACCCATCATCGTTCATCAGCAGCAGCACCCGTCTTCTCCTTTTCTTCTTTTCTTTTCTTTCCTTCATCTTCATACATCTTGACATACATATAGGTACATACCTAAACACGACTTGCCCCCCCTCTTTTGATCTTCTATCTTAGTCTTAGTCTTAATCTTCGTCGAAAATTTGATACGTATTCTGCAAAATCGTATTCACAACCCCGACCTGCCACCCGGAATCCTGGATATTGCTCCCAGGGGCAGTGCCCATGAGCGTAGGTCCGAACACGATAGCAAGGTTTTGGGAGTTCATTCTGTTGACGGCGCTGTGCTCGATGACACGGTGGAGATGCAGCGTCAAAGCTCGTAGCGTGGCGTAGTTGGGGTCGGGCAGCGCGTTGATGATGGCGTGCAGCGAGTCGCGACGCACCGTATCATCTTCATTCTTGGCTGCCTCGATAAACCCGGCGTAGTGTTCCGACGTTAGCAACGGGTCTGGTAAGTCTCGAAGGAACTGTTTGAGTAGACCGGCCACGCTGTTCACGTCGTGAAAAAAGTTCTCCGGATTACGGAAATCTAGGATCGGCGCGTCCTCGTCTGTTGTCATCGGGTCAGTTCTCGCCCTGTATGCGGCAATGTTAGATTATGAAAGGAGGAAACATACTAGTGTCAAACAAGTGCTTCAACTTGTTCACGTGAGCTGACGAGCCAGATAATCTGTATATACCCTCTACAGTAAGACCATACAAGTCAACGGCTTGTATACACTGGGAAACGACCATCGGCACGGGTCCCCTGCTATTATCGTACAGTCGTTCGAGAGAAATACCAAAAACTGGTCCACGTGAGATCGTTGGCTCGGCCTTGGGGGCTACGGTATTAGGAGGTGATTTTGAGCGTGCTGGAGACTGTTCTACACGTGTTGGAGGTTGAAACCCCATCGATGGACCTGGTTGTGTAGGACTTTGTCTTGGAGCTGACTGATTTTGAAATGGCAGAGCTCCAAGCTGTGGCGGACCCCCTAATCCGCCAAACCGGGACTGGGGCGGAGGCGCTTGTATAGAGTTTCGTGCGTTGTATTGTGACTGAGGCTGCATGCTAGCTTGGTTAAGCATTGCGCCATGACTGAAGCTTCTCTCATGCCCCGATCCTGATGGTGGTCGTTGAGGTTGACCTATTGAAGGGGGAGTGGTGAAATCCCGAGTTGGTCCTTGGAACCCCGAGGGAGAGGTCACATTATCATAACCTCCAGTCCGAGAGCCCATTGAACCTGGTGGTTGCATGGGAGATACTTGTTGCTGAGACTGCGGTCGTCCGGGCTGATGAGTTTGCGATAGCTGATTCATGGACGTGTTTTGTTGCGGGTTGAGGACCTAGCCAATGTAAGCATCAAATATCTCCGAGAACTACATGATCAGAACATACAGGATTCCTTTCGTATTTTGCCTCTAATGACTGAGGCGGAACCTTGCTATGGAAGCTGATGATATAGTTCTCGAGGTCCTTCTTGTTGTCGATGCCCTGGACGACTTCCTTTAAGCTACGCGAATGTTGTCCTGGTTGCGTAACACTCTTGAGGGGACTGATCACCAGACCGTTACTCAGCAGTAGCTTTTCGTTGAACGAGGCTACCATATCGTTAGCATTCGTTACGCAAACCATCCCCAGGCGTGATTTACTAACCAAACTTCTGCATCTGCAAGGTGGTGCCAGAATCGCATTCTCTGACGAGATCATGTATTGCCTTGATGGCTTCTGGACGTGTCGAAGTTTCCACGGTTGCCTTCTCAGACTGGTACGCCTGAACCTTCCCCATGTAGTCCGTGTCAGCTGCTTGAACCTTACGCAGAAGATCCTCTTCGTGTTGCGCCGCTGATTTGGGACCTTTGATGCCGAAAACCCTAGGCCCTTGTCTTGCCTCGCCCGTTCTCACCCGGTCGTACTCCTCAGCCAGCGAATCGTACTTTGCCTTGGACTTCTTCATCGCATTCTCAACATCGGTCAAGCGTTGTTCTGCTGTTAGGCCACTCTGTTTCCACCCCTTGCGGTGTTTCTCAGCTACCGCGGCCACTTCGAGTAGATCTTCGTGCATCTGATGTAAAGACAACGCAAACTGTATCCCATTCTCCGCCATACGGTCGTGTATCATAAGCATTTCATCGTAAGACTGCGCGAACGACCCTTGTCTGTGGTCCATGTGGTGGATGTTGTCCTGTGTCGTCCTACATAACTTTTTCATGCCTTTGGCATGTTGGTCTTCCAGGTCGGATCGCTTCTTCAGAAACGTAGCAAATTCCTATCATTGGGGCCCAAAGGTAAGCATCTAGGAAAACCAACAGGACGCTTGTTGCTCAGGGGAAGGAAAGGAGGGAGGCTAACCTTGGCGGCTGTGATGCTTTGCTTCAGTCTATTCAGCATCGTGGAAACACCGATCTATAGCAATCAGTCATCCCATCTCTTAAAACATTGGAAATTGGCTGGGATCTGTCTATACATCTGATGCCAACACCTCTTGCACCTCTTTAGGTGTTTCTGGTTCGGCCGAGTTGGGACGAGATGTCGTAACTTCAAGCCCATCGGCCCCAGCGCCGTTTGGCGAAGTAGCGGCGCCATCTTCGGGGGCGGAATTAGAGTTGGGATTATTTCCTAGAGACATGCTGCGACCTCGTTCATATTCTGGCAGTTGCGGAGTAGCGAGTTCTTGAGAATGGCGGCCGTAGTCTGCCATATTGGGTTATGATGGTTGATTGTATTCTGTATTGTCTTGAAGTTCGCGTCGGATCGGCTATCTTTAGTGTCACTGTTTTAGATATCGATTCTGGGGTAGAGTGGTGGTAGACAAGGTCTTTGACAAGGTCTTGAAAAGGCTGGTTCTTCAAGGAGAGTGGTTGTGTGAAACGTGGGATCGGGTTCGAGATTCATGCGAGTGTTTGCTAGTCAGGCATTCATGTCATAAATACCCCGTCTGGTCCGTCTGGTCCGTCTGGTCCGTCTATTTAAAATCCTTGGGGTCTTTGGTCCTTATTATTTCCCTACTCGTGGCTCGAACGTTATGCAGGCAGTTAAACCGGAAGGGGGTATAACTTATAAGTTGAAATGTTTAAAAAGTAATGAATGTTAAATGTACAGTTGTAATCAATCAAAATGTCACGATATCACGAGAATCCGAGAAGCGGGCACAATAAACTTTGTGGCTCAGCAAACTGAGCTACGTAATGCTATTTGCATAGTACATAGTAGTATGTAGCTTCTTAGCTGGCACTGTGCTTAACAAACGTCCCCTCTTAACAATTTTAGCGGCGGGATGCATTAGTTTACATCAGTCTCTCTTCCTTGGTCCGTGCGTCACGTCTACTATTAACCTTCTTACTAGTGACACAAGTGCAACCACATTGTCGGGATCAGGGCTACATATAGTACGTACATACATATAGTTCTATAATACAAGAGTCTTATTTGATGTATACCTATTACCTATTACCTACATAAAATACATTATATAGCATGTAATACTATGTACTAGGTATGCATAGTATACCTCCAGGAGTCTTCTGATACAACAGGAGTTCGGATGCCACAATGTCATACCCTTAGAGAGCCCCCTTGCCCGTTCAACCCAACACGGCCTCTACAATCCGATATGGAGTCTAGAAGTTCTAGCACATAGGATTGGCTGCTACCTCGGCCTGCTACCGTACCACCAGACTGTCATGTATGCAAGCATCCCCTTCAATTCCCCGCTTACCATGCCCCCCTTGTAACAGACAACATCTCAGCTGCTGGCACTGCATAGCATGTGTATAAAGTTTGCTACATCCCTTCATCATAATAAAACCCACCTGCATCTTATCAGGCTATCAGCACATCAGCCTGTAATCTATGTATCCATAGGACGTGTCATTAACATCAAACCACAGCACATGAATCAAACGATACCAAGCCGGCTCTTTCGTCTTTTTTGTATACTTGTATCACCCATTCTATGGGAATATGTGTAAGCAAGAGCAGCCAGCCACAAACAACACCGAGATAATATAGTATTTTGTAGTTCAAAAAAAGACGAAAAAAATCATAGGTAATCGTAGTAGATATACTAAAACTACCTAATTCACTCTTACCGAAGATCCCCCCCTTTTCTCCCATGCTTACCCACCTACACACCAATATGCCAAAGGCAAATCAACCTACCCTTTAGATAATTAGCATCTACACAAAATCTACGTTATCACAAGGCACCACTTAATTTAGGACCAGAGTAGCAGTACCTGCGTTTCGATATGTTCCTTGTTACTAAATGTACGGAGTTTCAGCATGAGCAGCAGCAGCAACTAACTACATAGTAATCGTACCTACGTCTGTGAACCCGAGCCGCCTATGTAAACAGAAAAAGAGAGAAAAAAAAAGGGAAAAAGGACAGCAGCCCTATTTCCGATGGGGTATAGAATGCAATGCACGTTTTGTCAAATTTGTTGGTATCATTTTTTCCGCATTGCGGCACAGAAAAATCCCTTTGTCGCCTCCGTTTGACCTTTGCCTGATGTCATAAAAGTGTTGCCCGTTATCATCCAGAATCGAAAACACCACCACTTCTTCTGTCTCGTAAAAAATCCCCTCAAATTGTCTTCCTACTCCTCTTTCCTAATCTAACCCCTTCTGTATCGTAAAGGAAATCTCAGAATGCTTGAGAATAATGATAACAAGACGAGTGGCCGAGTATCGTGGGATGACCTGGTATATGCGGCCATAAATCAAAACGCCAAGAATGCAGTGTGATGAGTAAAGACATAAGGAAAAGTTGGGAATGCATTCCCATGCAGAATAATAAGTGTCTCTAGAATACGGGTTGAGAAAATGTGTCGTGTAGGTTATCTCCATATTGGGACGTTTCGGTAGGCGGGTGAGTTGTAAGAATGAAGAACCCGATAGGGCATGGGATTACCGTGTTGATCCAAACTCCTATGTCGCGAATGACGTCGAGGAGGCTGTGCAGGATATCGGACGGGCTGGTCCCATCGCTCATCCATCTGCTTTGGCATCGACATCGATCGGCCGCTCCAAGGATCGGTGACGACTGCCTGCCCATTGCGAGACAATGATGGATAGGGACCATTATCCCGAATGCTACTATTCTGCGGTATGAGATTGTACTCATCATAACTAGATTGGCGGTGCAGTGATGGAAGGTTTGGCTGTGAGTGATGACGATGTTGAAAGAAATTTGGTCCGGTAGTTGCTGAGCTCTGTTGGCTAGATTGACTTGCGAATGAACTCCGACGGCTGAGATCTGCCGATGGTTGTGGAGATGGCCGTGGGGATGGCCGTGGAGACGGTCGTGGAGACGGTCGTGGAGACGGTCGTGGAGATGGAGAAGGACCACGGCCTACCTGAACATTCCAGTTCCGTGCTCGGGGATCTACGAATTCTGCTTGAAAGCTTCCACCCCCAGCACCCCCAGGCATAGCATGCATATTAGTATAGCGATGGTTTTGCATATGAGGCTGGCCGTGGAAGCTCTCCCGGCTAGCTCTCTTAGACATTATAATATGGCCTGCAGTGTGACTAGGAATATTATCGCTTCTTGAGTTGCCATCCCTGCTTCCTTGACGGGAGTATGGTGGCTGTCCTGACTGCCCCGACTGCCCCGACTGCCCTATGCTTTCTGGCGGGGTCGATCGAGACCTCGCAGGTGAAGGGACTCGTAGAGAGCCAAGGTTCCGAGTCCTCATGCTCACTGGGGGAGGGCTTTTTGAGAACCTCAGATTCGAAGCAGGTTGTGCAAGTTCGAGGGAAGTCGTAGAGTGGGATCTACGTTTAGCAAAATCATAGCTATGTCCAGCAGCAGGATATGTCATTTCCAAGCCCCCCCTCTCGCGACTTGACGTAGTATTTGACCTGGTTTGACGAGTGGCAGGCATGGAATGCCTTACTGGCTGGTGTTCCGCGGCAAGGCGGGTATCTCCATTGGTCGTTCCGTTTGTGCTATGGCGGAATGTAGATTGAACCATCTTTACATTCCCTCCAGAACTTCCCGCATCTAACCTTGATTGTGTAGTAGAGTTCTCTCCTCCGCTAGAACTTCTATATCGAGTAGGTACAGGCTTACGAGGAATCGGTTTCTTGAGGCCAGCGAGATAGGCAGCGCGAGCATGGGTTGATTTAATAGGTGAAAGCGGAGAAACCTGCTTCCTTTCTATAACCCTAATTTGGCCACCTGAGCTCTTCGGAGACAAGTCTTCATCTTGAAGCAATTCGGCGCTTCCTACACTCAGTATGGTTCCAAGCGTCTCCCTACTAGCCGCAGACTTCAATGCTAGTCTCCTGAATGAACTATGTGACAATCTCGCGCGTGCCTGAAGTTTTGCGTGCATATCTCCCGAGACAGCAGGCACAGTTATGTGCTCCGTGGGATGTGTATCATGGACAGACAGCGGCGTCCGACCTCCACTTAAAAACCTCTGAAGTCTACCGGGCTTACGAAAGCCGCTGGTGATGGTTAGGGTGGAATTAGACACGTTCGGATTACGTAAAGATGTCTGATGAGATTTGATGAAGCTGATGGCCTGGTTTCGCGAACTGGTCGTAGATGAATGCCTATTTGCCATATGATCGCGATTCGAAGACTCTGACAGTTTAGGAACTTGCCGAAATGAAGGAATCGGATCACCTGGTGTCATTGGGCTGGTGGGAGCCACACGACGAACGTCTTTTGTAGGGACAGGTGGAGGTGACATCCTATTGGCTGGCTTAGCAGTAATAGGGGACTTAATGGTCTGACTGGTAAGTTGACTCTCGTTAACACACTCGTTTTGCGTCATACTAGGATTTTCCTCGATCTCAACCTCCCTAGTTAAAATTCGGTCTTTCTCGGGAACCGGAGGCCTCAAGGACAACGAACGGAGGGAGACGCTGGAGCTGTAGCCCGAGTCTGCCTTCGATAGGGTTGCATGTGAACATTCAGATGCGGGACTTGCAATACCGCTATCTGACCTATTAATTTCCTTCGAATTTCCCCCCTCTGAAGTAATATTGAGGCGTGGGATCTGAGATTTTGCATTCGTGTCGATTCGCACATCCAGAATTTCGATTGGCGGAAATTCATTCGCCTCGTCGTCAATGTCAAAGAGTCTGTCTTCTGCAGCCGTATGTTTACTGGTCACTTCGAACTGCGGTTCTGACACTATCGTATCATTGAGAATTTCCGGGCTAGGTTGATGCTCAGGCATGAAAGGGAAGGATGTTGGAGACTGGGTAAAGCGTCTCAAGTATGTTGCATCCGGATAAAAGCTTTCAGCTGAGTTTTGGCCATTCTCAATATTTTGTACTACATCCTTGTTCGGTGTGGTGCTCCAGGACTCGATTATGGTCGTTCCAAAATTGAACTCTGCCGGCTTTTCTATTGGCAATTCTTTAACCTCTTTGCCTTTGATATCAAGCTTAGAATCACGCATAGGGCTCCGGGCGGGGCTTCCATTTGTGATGCGAAGAGTGCCAAGCTTGAAAGCGCCTGTTTGCATATATTCCGCTTCGCATGGAGTGAGGGCACGGGGGACAGGATCTATGTTGGTCAACGTAAGACCAGCTGCACTAGCTCCCATTGAATCCATAGATTCTCGGCGGGCAGGAGTCGAAGGAAGGCTGTATCTTGTCTGCGGTTTCGAAGCGGTTGTGTCGACCTGTACATCACGGGTAGCGATTCCAGGAGTCATCAGAGATCTTCTTCGCATTGGAGTATAAAGTGATACATCCGAATTAGTTCGAGGTATCGAGGCTGTTGATTCGGGAAATGATGGTCGTCGGCCCCTAAAATCGCCTCGCATCGCTTCAGCAATATGCTTTTGATTCTCAGAGACTACTGAACCGTTTTCATGAGACGGCTCTTCGACGAGATTCAATAGTCGCTTAGCTTCGTACGAGCTAGAATCATAATTAAATGATGTTCGCGAACCGTTTGACGACAAATTCCTAAAGCGTTATATTAGTTTACATTGCTCCAAGTCAGTCGATTAAAGTAATTAACACACCCGTGCATGGGAACTTGACCGTAATGGTAAGCTTCATCGGGCCCATTTCTCAACGAATTTTCTCTGGTTGACCATTGCGATTCTTGGGGGGCCGATGTATCGACGCTACTGCTTCTATGGTGGGAATTGAGTGACCGTTTTGAGGTATTGGAACGAAAGAGCCTCCTCGATAAGCGCCTGACAGGTTCAAATTCTCTCTTGCAGCTTGAGGCGGACGCAGGAGCCGCGGCGTCTGTCGTCGGAAGTATTGGCGACGTCACAGAGGATGAAGTGTGAGAAACGGAGGGCCGCCTGGCCGAATTCAACGCGGCACTAGGGCTTAACAGGCCAGCTGCCGTAGGGTTGCTCGTCTTGGGTTTGGATAGCTTCTGTGTTGTTCGCTGGCCCTTCGAAGACTCTGCGGAAACGGAGTTTCCCATAATGTCGGGAGAGGGCAAAGCCGAAAGGCCGGCACGATGAGAATACTATACGATCATTGATATTTCTATGCCGGATCCTTCAACCCAAATATTAGTGAGTGGTTAACAAACCTTGGATATCACACAGCAAGGTGGAATAGGCAGGTAGAATTCTAGAAATTCTAAATATCCTAAGAGTATGTGGTGGGGTATGAGACTGGTATTATAATAATAAGGTAGTATGAAACTATTCCTGGGGTGCAAGGCTACATTTGTGAAGACAGGCCCGATTATTGGCCTATTCATGAAGCTGGAGGTTGGGAGGGGATGCGGGATGGGTGGACAAATAAGGATTCATATGTATGCGTTCTTGAACATCATACCCCAGCTTATCCATCTCGTCCAGATGCGGCATGTATCTAGGAGACCTTGTTGGGGGAGAGCAAAGCAGGGGGTGGTTGTGAGAGAGGAGCATTGTGAGGAACGTTGTGAAGTACATAGTAACTGACCGAGTACATACCTACTTACACACCGAGACGAAACGAATGCGGCAGCATTACTTAAAAGATGCTGCTTTATTCACGTCTATGGTTAGGAGAGAAGATCAACTACACCCATAACCACACGTAGCATGCAGGCAAAGCAGGCAAAGCAGGTAAAAACAAGAGACAGAAGACAAAGACCAAGAACAGGAACAGGAACAGAAGAGAAAAGCCGTGTACGCCAACTTATTCTTGTTGGTGGTGGAGGTTGTGTACACCTACATATACCTATCCATACGTAGGTATGGTGGAGTTACTAGTAGTATGTATGGCTATGTGGCTGTACGGGCTGTATCATGTATGGTGAGAAGGAAAATCAAATAATAATAAGAGGTGAGAGAAAGAAGATAGACTGGAACGATTGGAACAGTTGGAACAGCTGGAACAGTTGGAACAGTTGAGCTGGGAACGTCGGTTAGTTATTGGTACTCCTAGTAGTTCATAATATGGATGTTCAAGTTAGATCCAGTCACAATTGAGCAATACACCTGGGCACTCAATCAAAATAATAATAGTACAATTGAGTTGTACAATACATACATACATCTGAAGATACAATATGTACATGTAATGGTATCACCTATTGGTAGTAGTACTAACCTAGGCAGTTTAGCCCATACTCATAATAGTAAATTCAGTAACTAGTCCTTGCCCGTCCTTGCCCAGTAGGTAGGCCAATAGACCAGTAGGCTGCAACGAGAGATGCGGGTCTCGAGTTGTTGACGCAGGAGAAACCTGTATTGTTGGAACTTGATCTTTTAAAATGGGCAATCGAGATCCAAAAGAATTTAAAGACAAGACCTAAACGTTACTTCTTCGCGGCAACTGAGACGCCCAACTATCCCAACCCAACTTCCTTAACTGTACATTAATAGCTAATAGGTCGAGTACCTCAGTACCTACCCTAGGTAGGGTAGAGTACATAAAATTAGTAGCTCCTAAGTAACTTTCCCATGTTTTTTCCCCCATGCAAAGTAGCGGAAATTAGCAGCCGCCCAACACCTGCTTAAGTCTGTAGGTATTGTACGAAGTGTGTACGAAGTTTGTACATGGCAGTATGCGAAAGTCACCTTATTAGTACATCAATGTACCTAGGTATGAGAGGTTCGCCCCACCAGCTGCTCCAGTAGCTGTCTGATCTCCATACCCCTGTAATCTCCATTCCTTCCACTCTGGACCGGAATAGACCTGTTCTGGACAAGCCAAAGACGAACTCATCGACACGTACATACATTTCAGCAGAGGCGGGCAAATTTGAATATCACCAAGATCCATCCACATGCGAGGGGTTGCGGAGCTCTGATGGTCCAGGCTCAAGCTATCTGCCTACCTAGCTAGTAGGCAGTTAAAATAGGTAATTAATACCTCTACCTATCCAACTCTAACCGAAATCAAGCTATCTATCCGAGGACGTAGAACAATGAAATCTATCAAGCTTATCCTTGTCTGTCTAGGTCTAGGTACCTAGTATAAACAGAAATTAGTCTAGTATGTAAGCTATGTTGAAGGTTAAAAGTAAGTATGTACATGTAGTACTACATACTACTGTCTAGTACATACATAGTATGCATAGTATTGCATGAACAACAAAGAGTCTTGTACGTCAAGATAGATTCCCATTCGTGGATTCCGTTTTCTAAAGCTCCTTAAAAGACTTCTTAAGCTTCAGAAGAGTTCTTCGCTTACAACTTCTCGTTGCTTTCGTCATGATATTATCATCACAGAGCAAAATACTACCTGGCAGTCCAGTGAGTAAACCCGTCCCCGGACCATGGTCCTACTAAATTGCAATTGGCTACCTGGGGTAGTTATATTTTATACACATCAATGCTATCAAGCTTCGAGGCATGCATACAAAGTCAAAAAGAGTTAAAGGTTACATACATGTGTATATACATGTGTATATGTAAGCGGTATTAAGCAGTTCTAACTTCTAACCCCCGAGATCATCTAATGAGCCGGAACTCAAACCTTCCAGACTGCCAAAACTGGCAGGGGACAAGGGTTATAAACAGGGGACACCGCTCCAAATACTCCGGCCCTGCATTTTAATTCTTCAAGTTTGAACAGTTGAATTATGTACATACGTATGTACATGTAAACTTCATGAACTTGACTCATGTCTCGGTACATATCTTGATTCTTAACTATCTCATCTAACCAATCATCTAATTATTAATCAATACCTTTTTTAAGTTACTAACCTAGACCTTCTTCTTTCCCCACACGGCTTTATTTACATACAACATTGAACAACATACTACATACCTATCGTCAAACCAAGGTCAAAATTAAGGACGTCACTTGTTCTGTTCAATATTGTTAAAGTGAGAAAGAAGAAAAAAGATTGAATACGCGTGGCGCGTTCAAACATACGGATGTTTTCGTGTCCAACCTAATACTTATTAGGTATAGAGTATCTTGTTCAGCTTGAAGCTTCAATTCTTTTAGTCGAGAACGCCCAGCTTTACCTAACGACCTAACTGCCTCTCCGGCTCTCCAGCTCTCCAGCTCTACAGCTCTACAGCTCTACAGCTCTACAGCTCTACAGCTCTATCAAATAGGCTCTTTGCCCTTTTCGCTCCATTCAAAACTACTGCAGCTCGGATGCCGCAACGCTGTAAACGTAATTCCACCCCGCTTAGTTCCTGACCAGAATCTCCAAATATCAGGAAACGATGATTGATTCGGTCTTTGGTTTCTTGAAACCTCCACTCTTGTCAACGAATTACATGCCTATGTATGCAAGCTGTCTGACGATGATAGCGAATACCTGACACCGCTTTCTCTACAACGACCAACTGTTTCATGCACGTCGTTATCGTTTGCTAAAGGTGACGCAAGAAATTGCACTTATACATCCTAGTTACGAGATACTTGTCTCGGATATCTACGACTACTACTGGTCTACTAGTATGTATATACGAAGTAGGTAGGAAATATCGAAAGCGAAGGCGGTCAACGAAAGCCCGAAGCTCAAGCCAGTCTTGATATGACTAAATTAGATGCTCTCAGCCCTTTGCATCCGTCGATCGAAAAATAAGGGATATCTTGAAAACTCATCCACATACATAGCACTGCCAAAGCTTACGAGTAAACTTACACCACCCTTGGTGCAGATCGCTGATCAACCCTCCACTGAGAAAACCCAAGACCATCAGACCGTGAAATCATTTTTCTTCTCCCTTCGCCACCACTCGTTCTTGTGCCATTGTGCCACTGCATGTCCTGTGCATACCCCGTGCGTGCATGCTCTTACGCAAGCTTCAATGGAACCCCACGAAACGAAACCATGCGGCTGATCCAACTTTATTAATCTGTGTCGAGCAGGCGAGCTGAATTGGAGACGCGTGCGCAGGGAAAAGCTGCAAGTCAATATGTCCTTATGTCCCACGATGTCTGCTTTTCTGAGCCGAGGTGCCTCACGAATGAGAACATTGAAAAGTTACACCGCGTTCTTTCATACACATGCAGGTTTAAGATGTGTAACCACGTTACTCATATGACGACCTCCTCAACAAATGTCCATGCGAGACGATAACCTAGTGTGTAAGTTTGACCCAGGACAGCCGAGAAGGTTGTTACCCAACAGCCGCCATCGAACGATAGTTCCCAGTATCTTTGCCTCAATCCACCATGTTCTCGGAGGTCCATGGCCGAGATATCAAAATACCAGATGCGAGAATTAGATAGCGCTAACCCCGCGGCGTTGTTGAAAAGCCCACGAGTACATATATTCTTCAAAGTCGTCAGCGTTTGATAAGGTTGTGAAACAACAGTTCTCCTAAGATCAACGTCGCACTATCTACGTCTCGCATCAGCTAGACACCCCTCATCTCTTTTGTTTACAACTGTCTAGTTTTCTGATAGGGTAGGCTGTGGCTAGTTCGATGTTTCCTGATCACCATCTCCACAGCGGCAACGAAAGTTAGATCCGATCCGGAACTATGGCATCACGAAGCCGCTAGCCTTTAGGACTTGAGCTAGTTACATAAGGTTAATATAACTTACTCGAAGCTTGATACACCATACGATGGGCTATTCACCGAGAATTAGTACAGTCCGGTTCAGCTCGGTAGAAATCATGTTGACTAGGTAACCATCCTATGCTGCCTATGCAGTAGTGTACTTCTTTGGGACAATCCCAAGCTTCCTCGGCTTCTGAATATAGACGAGATAGGTGTTTGTTTGCGCCACAAGACACCGGCCCTCCGGCTTCTGTCCCCGCTCCATCCTGTCTTACATAGCTGTTTGTGGTGTTCAGATGATCAGAGCTCAGAAAAGACTGCACCGACGACGAAGCTCTGCAGCGTCAATAGATGTCTTTGGGAAATGTCTCATATGCCGCGCACTTGTTATCTATCTATCTGACTTCGGTCTAAAGCAGACGGCCGAAATGAGGCAGCAGTGAACCGGAATAACAAAGCCAAGAAAAAATATCGTGAGCATTGAATGCTTAGGTAGGTATCCAAACCCTTTATCATTCCCCGAACACTCATTTTCTCCGCGGTAGTAGCGCATCTTTCTAGCCAGCTCCCACGGATCAGAATAGATCATCGGACATCCGCAGGTACAATATCATCACTTTACTCACAAAGACTACTACATAGGTTACTATCTTGTAAAGTAATAGGACCTGGTGGAGATATCGTATTGGAACAAGACAAAGAGGTTGAAATCATCACTTCTAAAACAACAATCCATATGAAAAGAGAAACTACTTTATAGATCATTCATCAACGTCCGTCCGCTCACTCCTCCTGTCAGGGCATACCGCTACACCAAAAGGTGAATGATTTATCGCATTAAATGTCTCTAGTTTATATCAGTATATCTGATGACTCCTACAAGAAACGCCTCACACGGAGGAGTGAACTACACATCTGCGGGCCTGTTCGAAGATCCAATGCTTCAGAAAGTTCTACCTTGGCCAGTTAGCACAACGGAGGCCAATCTACGAGAAACATCGTCACGCCCCTAAGTAAGCCTCGAGTGAGAACTCTCAATTGCCAATTATCAGGATCGGCCGCCTCAGTCAAGCCCCCAATTGACTGATCTCTCGGTATCAGCCAGCGACCTTTATATCATTCAAGCCAATTTATACGTGCCTGTCTCGCAACTACTACATCCCAGATATCATTAACGTGTTGCCAAAGCAATGCAAAAGCAACCTTGGAATAAATATCCTTTCCTTTTTGCAATTGTCTTGCTATATGTATACCTACCTAAGCTTTCTCATAAAGTATTTAAGGTTACGAAGCTATTAATACTTACTTGCCCATCGACCACTTAACGGCTCATGCTGACAACTCAAGCACCGACCTACCTTGGCCCCGTGGTACGTAGTTATTTATATTTATGGCCGTTTCGACTACCTACGCCACCAGCGCCTGCGACGGAGTCTTATCCATTGTTTGAAGTTAACCAAAGTACTATTTCCATGGCCCCCCCTTAGCGTGCTTCAGCTCATCATGAAACGGGATGGTATTGGCAGGATCGTTACTCGAGATTCTTACTTGATGCTGTCTTCACTGGTTCTACCTTACTTCACACTTACCTAACCTAGGTACTTTGGGCACCTGTCTGCCTATGTAAGGTAGTAGGTCAGATACTAGGTATGTAAGGGTCACAAACCCAAGGCAAGATATTCCGTTTACCAAGTCGCCATCACAATCATGATAAAAACACACAACGGAATCACGAATTTCGATCCAATGACAGCACAGCACGTTGAATCCTTTCAGCACCGAGCCTGGAAAGGCGTTATGGTGGTGGCGTGAAGCTACTAGGCGGACTATATCGTTGACATATATGCTATGACATTTTACCTAGGTAGGTACATAAGACATGTTCAATGTGAAGGGGTTCAATGCTATTGAAGCGCCTCATCAAGCCATTGATGTCATTATTAGGCCTTTTTTTTTCTTTTTTTCTGTTGCATGTTCTGTTCCTGCCCAAGGTTGAGTTATTCGGGATCGCCTAAGTATATGATATTTGTTAGAAAAGTGTCACTATGCCAATGATAGAGTACTGGCAAGTACGTGCAAGTATCTTAGATACGAATACTTGCGCGGTATATTTTGTAACAATATTCGACATAATATTGTTGTTACCTTGATAATGGACATCCCCACATTGTAGATGCAGTATAAGCCCCCTTTACTAAGCACTACTTAGCTCATGTAGCTAGGCACTTGAGTAGGTATTTGACAAACGGGCGCATGGCGAGCAGACATACATAAAGCTTACTTACCTTCCTAGTAGCTAGGTATGTAATGTAGTCCAGGTTCATTCACCAATGACATACGTGCAGCCCTGTCCGCCGATCCAGACTTCGTGGACGCGGCCGGCGCCGACGTCGATGCGGTCACCGACGGTGTACGTCTCCTTCCCGGGACTGGGGTCCTGGGGGTACGTGATGGTGAGCTGGCCGTCGAGGATCAGATGCGTTGTCAGGCCAGCGTGGGAATGTGGCCGGTAGTGCGCATTGCTGTATTCTGGGGTATCAGTCTACGTTTTGCCTCCCCTGCCGAAAAAAAAACTCTTCCATTGTCATCTTTTTATTTTCTTTGGGCAAGGCAAAATGAGGGGATGGGAAGGATAGAGAGAGAGGCTAGGTAAGGTAGAGATGGGATGGGCACTGACGGGCCATCAGTCCATGTGAAGACATGGTTAAAGCCCCACGATCGCACTTCTGCTTCGTGGTCCTTGTGAGCCTGGGACGACATGATGATGTTTTTTGCTCTGCATCGATGAGCGTGGGGAAGGTAGAAAAGGAATTGATTTGCCAGCACAGCCTTTGGCCGATATTTGACAGACGGGACAACGACGATGGGCGTTCACTTAGGCGGCGTGGCTGTGTTTCTTTTATTTTCTTTAAGGTTGAAGTTGGGGTTGGTTGGGTATTATGGTAAGTTACTTGTACTTGTTCGTTTACAAGTTGCAAGTGTTCAGTGTTCGAAGTTCTTCATTGGATGGTTCATGACGTCGTTTCGGTAAACCTTGTGGTTATTACCTAGTACATTATATCCCTGCGGGAAGGAGAAACGGGAAGCGGGAAGCGGGAAGAAAAAGTAATAAGGCAATAGTACTATCTAGGTGCACGTGGGTAATTCAAGTTGCCCGTACCTGACCGTCCTGACGGCCCTGAGTTTTGACTATCAGATAATTGATGCTTGCGCCTTCCATTCATCTGCAAGTACAATACATTGGTTGCCGACTGGGGCGCAGTTTAGACTTTGCCGGCATCTTCCAATAGCATTCCATTTTAGGTATCTTAAAGGATCATTGGATCATGATTTATTCTAACTAGTTATTTTTTATTCTATTTCCATTCATCACGTCGATCAATTGATCCACCATTCGATTTATGCTAATAATTATCATCCCATTACCTCGGCGCAATACATAGTACATCATATTTGATTGATAGTACGCAAAATAAGTCAGCTTGATATTGTATATTGCTACCTTGAGCTCTCTCCATTCGACACCTGAAAGGCACACCTACATGGAATATGTGATAATATTGATGCAGGCAGCAAAGTCTTGTCTAACTTAGATGTTTTCAGCTGTCCCACGAAGATCGGAATAATCGAATGATATTGTCCCAAGAAGTGGAGATGGATCGCTAGTGGACGGTGGACCATTTACTTGCATTGCTGGGGCATTCCTCCCACTCTGCCACCTCCAGCTGTCTTCCACTAGTTATCATGTCTGTCATCAATGGGGGCCAATGGATATCAACCCAGGCAGCCAGACAGTCCGACAGACCATGCTTCGCCGCGTCCCCAAATGCATTGTGCAGACATAGGCCACGGCCACGGCTGACTTTAGTCCTTAGATGAGCCCGGCAATAGCGGTCTAGATTGATTGCTCGTTAAGAAATTGCATGTTCTGACTTGATTGAATTACATACATACATGCATCTTGCCTTGTCTTACGTTGTTTTTTTATCTTTGATTTTCCTCCTCCCTCTTTTTTTTATTTATATGTCCTATCCTCATCTCGAATATTCCACCCCTGAAAGTCAAATAGCCTTTCTTTCAACCCACGAGGCTCCGCTGCTAATTAACAATTAGTGGTGGGTGATCCAAGACACGCAGGGCCCAGTTGGTTGGTACAGCCCTACGAGTGGTAGCTTTTGGACCAGGGATCGACTCGTCTTGAAACGGCCGGATTGGTTCTATTTTCTACCCATCTGTCAACGTTGCTAGGTACAAACCTACAGTATCTACCTACCTAGGTGACAGCACTGACAGGTCCTGACACCTCCAGGGGCTAAATAGGTATTATTACATATTACCTATCTAGGTGCCTACCTAACCGTTAATAGCCATTGCCAACATTAAAACATTAGACCTGGTATCTACAGCGGGGCCGCTTGAAGCTTGTTCTTGCTGGGATGAGGCTGCATGCTGCTCAGAGCTGAACTTGACCCCGGACTGACTTAAACTTGGACGTTTCTTGCATTTATCTTTCATTTCCTGATCGCGTCACTCCCTGCTGGACTGTCTCACTTTACATAGCTTTACCTATTTACCTATTTACCTATTTACCTATTCATCATTTACACCTACCTACTTACTATACTACACAAAATATTGTTCATTCTTAATTTGTTTCAGCCACTTGGCATACCTATCAGTATCTCTTCACTTATTCACCTATACGCTTACAACATCTCAATATTCAAAACTCACAATTATGTTTGCCTAAACCTATATATTCCTTCTCATCCAATCCGAGAATCTCTGCTGAACCTAATGGTCTTCTACGACCCCTTTTCGTTGCTCCCTTAGAGCATAAAGGACATAGCGAAAGCGATCAAGGGACTCAACTAGTTCGGTTTATTTATTTCGATGTGCGTCAGTGTAAGTCAGCAGAAAAAGCTATTTGCTATGGTGTATGGAAAAGGAGACGGGCACTTTTTGGGCGTGGTCCAGCACAGGCTTGGAAACATAGGCTAACAGCCAGTTTGGCAGATGCGGAAACGACCAAGCAATCCGGTACCGACTCGCGCGATCACGATTCGGCGTCGTCTCACTCTTAATTCCGAGCTTGGGACCAATTCCATAAAAGCACTTAAACGGGCAATTGCTTTAGCATCATTCATCACACCAACCGTGGTACACTTCCAAGGTGGAAAAGAGGTCTACCTAAGCGCTGCCATTCAAAAACATCTACGAAAACTCTACGATTCGTTATGCCGAACCCCCACCGTGCTGACGCGTGACGCCTTTGCCAACTTCCTGGAGGTTAGCCAGGGTGAAGATGCTCCGTCAGAGTCACTAACGGAGGAAAGATATAAATTCGAACAGTTTCTCGAGACGTGGTGGCTCCAATTCGGCCTTGATGTGCAGAAGCCAGCTCGCAACGAGTTGAAGGATCTCTCAAAACCTATAAGCAACTACTTCATCAGTAGCAGTCACAACACATACCTGTCTGGTAACCAGCTGTCTGGCCGGAGCACTGCAGATGCCTATAGGCGCGTGCTCAGAAGGGGATGTAGGTGTGTTGAGATAGATGTATGGGATGGGAATTCGCAAAGCTCGACCCCTGAGCGCCCGAGGGCCACGTCTTCGAGGGCTGGTTCAAAATTTGAGCACAGTCGGCACCTCTCCGGGGGAAGCCTACACACCGTGGCGGCTCAGCTTAAGGGCGCAGTGGAAGAGACGATTGAGAAAACGCGGCATAGATTAGGCGTCGATAAGATGCACAGCCATAGCCCACGATGCAGCAAGTCGGAGTTATCACCGCCGCCGTTCGGTCGGGAACTTGGTGCCGACTTCGACCCAGATTCTCTTGCTCATAAGCTTGATGCGGACCGATCCTCAATACGATCTAGACCCTCTTTACCTCCAGATGAACCCATCGTGATGCACGGCTATACCTTTACTGCACCTGTTGGATTTCGCGAAGTTTGTAAGGCAATTCGCGAGGTTGCCTTTGAGACGACAAGTCTACCGATTATAGTCAGCTTAGAAGTCCACGCCGATCAAGAACAACAAGAGAGCATGGTGCAGATCATGAAGGAAGAGTGGGCTGGCCTATTGGTCGACAAGCCGCATGACAATTGCCCAAATGGTCGAATGCCAAAGTTGGAGGAATTGCTCAACAAGATCCTAGTCAAGGTCAAAAGGGCTTCATCCTCGCTAGAAAGTTCAACCATGTCAACATTATCCCCTAACTCTACAATCGACGAAGAGATGTCTGCGTCTGGATCAGAAGACGATAGACCCATCCTCCCGAACGGCGCCAAGAAGCCAAAGGTGCCCATATGTGAAAACCTCAGCGCCCTTGCCATATATACCCATAGTGAGCACTTCACTAACTTCGAATCGCCGGCCGCTAAAACCCCTTCACATATATTCTCGATCAGTGAGAATAGGATTTTGGAACTCGTGAATTCGAAATATCATGAGCTATTTTCCCACAATCGTCATTTCTTCATGCGTGCCTATCCCAAAGGTCTTCGGTTTGATTCGTCGAACCTGGATCCTTCCAAGTTTTGGCGGAAAGGTGTGCAAATGGTGGCTATGAACTGGCAATCATGGGATGAGGGCATGATGCTCAATGAAGCCATGTTTTCGGGCGAGCATGGTTGGGTCCTGAAGCCGCCAGGCTACCTTAGCGAGGACACATCGATAGACCGAGACATCCCCCATCGCACACTCGATTTGGTCATCACAGTACTTGCAGGTCAACATATCCCTCTCCCTGAGGGTTATGTCAGCAGTTACTCGAGGTCTTTGAGGCCTATGGTAAAATGTGAATTGCACATGGAGAAACTGGAAGAACGACTTGCTGGCTCTACCGAGAACATCCGGATGCGAGAATTTGACTACAAACAGAAGACGGGAGCTGGCAAGACGGACCACCCAGATTACAGCGGCGTTAAGAACGAACTGCATTTCTTGGGTATCCAGCGAGTTGTAGAACAGCTCAGCTTTGTCAGGTAAGATATCTCTTTTCCTTCCTTTTCTTTTTCTTTCGTATCCCTTCTTTCCCGATGTATCCCCTTGCAACGTACTCCTTCAATACGACTTCCTTCGGATGCCCACATCACCGGATCCGAACCGTCGGGTTTTCATTACGACGTGCATGACCAATAGGCCACGTGTTGCGAGCCGGGAAGAAGCCGGCGGCTGAACCTACATGTGCAACAATCCGTCCACCGACGGAAACGAAGCGGTATACGATACCATGTCGATACCTGTCATATTTTCTAGCGGGACCAAGCCGGGATATAGAGCAGCCAGGTTTCCGACTTTGAGACTTTCTTCCCAGCCGCCCATACTTTCCTAGTATCTCCTTTGTTATTCTTGTACCATACGGGTTCTCTGCCCCGGTCTCATTGGAGATCCCGATTTGTCATGGAACCCTTAGCTTACGAATTATTTCTCTATACAGGTTCAAGGTCGAGGACGATGTGCCACGGCTCGTGTCACTGAAAAGTGACCCCTCGTCCGGTTGGGCATGCATCCGTCTTGACCGTCTAGCGACGGGTTACCGCTTTGTTAACTTGCTAGACGCTCATGGCAACAAGACCAACGGTGTTCTCCTGATTCGCGTGGTCAAAAACTTCCATTGATCAAATCTCGTATGTGTGGGCGAGGTCGGAGACGATGAAAAAAAAAGGAACCAGCTGCCGTTTTCCGTACCCAGTTGCGTGTCATCGAAGCGGTGATCCACGGCTGCTTGCCGTGCATGACTGCATATATACAAAGTCACGACTCTTGCCGACCTATCCGTCTTGTTCCTTTTCTTGAATACTAAGTCACTCATCATTTCACTATACCAACCACCATCCATCCATCCAACATATTCATGTATTTTTACCACTGTCAGGGGGCGGGTCATGCAGGAAGCCGGCGAAAAAAAGTTAGGCAGTTTTGTGTAGGGGAAAACACAAAGGGCTCGGGCATCATTCATCACCATGGACAATCATTCGGATCGGCGAACATTTCCTTTCTATGTCTTTTTTTGGTTTGGTTTTCGGGTGTATCAGGCGCACAACAGCAATTGCGGTCCAGACGCTTTACTTTGCTAAATGGGAGGAGAAAGGGGGGCTAAACAGCATTATCAGATGGGAACTCATCACGTACGACCACAACGGTTTACTGAATTTCTTTTATTTATTATCATTAGTTCTCTCCTCCTTCCCCATCTCTGTCTCTATTCTGTTGGACGCACAGCATCTTACAGCGGCATATTCTTTTTTTGGAAGGGGGGGAAGGGGGGAGGGGGCATTATTAGCATTATTTGTTTTTCTTAATCAATCAATGTACCTACCTAACCTACCTGACTACTAGGTAGGTGGGTTAGTACTATGTAGGTATTCATGGATCATCGTGCTGTCGTTGCCATGAGTATAGAGAAGAGGAGATACCCGGATTCAAATGACCAAATTCAATATTCTTCATTTTACCTACCTACTCAAATGTTGGCACGACGTCACTCGTTTCTTTTTTCCCCTTAGCTTGCTTGTATCGAGTGGGTACCTCGATGGGTTGGTACTTACCTACCTACATAACCTACCTGTGTACGAAAGAACGAGGGATATGGCGGTCATAGAAAAATTAAACTACCTAGGTAGAAATGTTGATGGGGCAGGGGGGTGGAGGGGGATAGATAGATAGATTAGGTACCTACGTAGGTAGATAGATAGGATAGGTAGATCAAATATCTAGAGTATTATTTACTACTTACTAGACTGACTGTGACTGAGTTTGTTGTTAAGGGGAAGGGGGTGTTATTGCTACCTACCTAGTAATCTACCTCCTTGGTAGGTAGTAGGCGGGTGGGTACTAGGGACTCAGTCTAGAACATACATAGAACTCTCTGTATAAGTAAAGCTGATGGAAGAAGAATGACACGCGGGAGGTAGTGGAGATGTAGAGTCAGGGTAGGTGGGTAAGAAGGTCCCTGGTTTGGTAAAGAACCCTTCGGTATCCGAGGAAGCAGGGGGTGTAGTAGGAATAGGGGTGAATGATAGAAGCATATAGGAGAACGTCAATGTGGTTCGATATCGAGCTACACGGGTAGTTTGGCTACCTTGTTACCCTACGTCAATGGTAGGAGGCATATAACATCGAAGGTATATACCTAGTTATAGCCTACCTATCTACCTAGTACTCAAACCCAATAGACTTGTTAGCTCAGTGATCTCATGTGACCTCGATAGTCAGAATGCATATGTATTTGTCGCATATTCCCTTTCCTTTCCTTTCCTTTCCTTTTCTTCTTTCTTTGGCCTTGGCTTAAGCACGCAATAGGATGCACATACATGTATGTAGGGGCACATGATTGACCTCCAGGGCTGCCACCTGCAGTTTCTATCTAACTATCATAGGCATTTGCTCTACGTAGGAGGAGCCTACCTACCTACCTGGGTGGGTATGTAGACTTCGGAGCCTATGTATGTAAGATAAACCACTCGTGAAGATACTGGTAGGTATGATGTACGCTAGGCATGTATGTATTGTACGATTCCCATGCATAGTAAGTAGTTCATCCCCCCCTTCCTACGAGCGTGGCGTGTTAGCTTCTTTACCTACTGTTAGTAGGCTATCTAGATTTCTTACTTACCTACCTACTTACTTACTTACTTACCTACTAGAAGGCCGTTATCCGCCGTCCGTCTAAAACTTCCCAAACCGAACCCACACACACACATCCCGTGAGTTGAGCGGGGTGGTGGTGGTGGCAAGCCAGAGAGCCGTTGAGGGGTTTGGGGGGGTTTTTTTTTCCTTTTCCTTTTCCTTTTCTTCGTCTTGTTAAGCTAGCTGCTTGACTAGTAAGGTCTTGCCTGTCAACGCATCTATATGTGGCTGGCGGTAAGAATTGAATTGGCGCTACCTACCTACCTAATGTATGCGTTGAAAATCTTGGAAACTAAGAAAGGAAAAAAAAAAAAGAAAAAAAAAAAAGAAAAAAAAAAGACTAACCCCCCCTCCCCCCCTCTCTCTTCTAACTCCGATCTTTGCGGGTGGGATATGTAGGTAGGTAGGTAGGTGGGTTAGAGGCGCTGGCTAAGGACTGAGACAGACAGACAGCAAACGGCTATCAAGAGACGGGTAGACCCTTTCAGATCCCGAGGTCCCGAGGTTTGATATCCGGAGTATGTACGTGTGAAAGATGACAGGATTGGCGACGTAAAAGCAAAAATAACTGTATGCGTACCTAGGGACGATGGGCAATGATTGGTACCTATTCCATCTCCCCCCCCCCACGATCTTTCTCCCCGGTGATGACATCTATCAAGCCATACTACCCATCTTGCCTACCTAGGTAGCCGGTATGCGTGTTTGTATGTAGCTCGTCCAAGTGAGAGAAAAAAAAAATCTAGGAAGGGAACATTGATGAAAGACAGGATATCAGTGAGACATGGCGTTCATTGTCCGAGCCGGTGATTTTCCCAATTAGTCCATGATTTGAGATGTAGGTAGGTAGGTAGATAATTTCGAGGGGCATCAAGACAACATCGGATCTAAGTCGTTGGCGGCGGGTCCGAACATTGAAGTTCGCGCGGATAGTTCCAGACCATGTGGTCTTGTACCAAGGACTAGGTGTGTTTACCTACCTATACATACAAGAGAGAATTGGCCGCATGCCATGTCTTTCGGCATGAACCTATGTATGTCTCTCATTTCTATCAGGGGCACTCCCTGTATATATATATATATATATAAACACAATACGTGGATGCATTCTAGGTTACTTGATAAGGAAACAACCCCTTCCGCGCGCCGGCCCGCCCCCATTTTTGAGCGAGGAGGGGAGGAACAGAAAGGATTTCGGGGTGGCAAGCTTCCTCCCCACCGCGGGAAGAGGATTATGACTCACGTCATGAGGCTCTTACTAGACCTATACTGAAATAATTTCGAGTTTTGGAAGTCCTTTGCTAGGTAACTACTCTGGTCGCTTGGACCTACCTAGGCACCCAAGGCATTAGCAGCTAAACTAGGTAGTCAGCCACCCAAGATTGGTGGGTGTCTGGTATGCTAGAGTTTAGTTCGAGCTGTCAGGTACTTAGGCACACGGTAGACTTAACCCTACACGCACATATGTGATGTAGATAGTCTCCGATATCAAGTTCGTCAGGCCGTTCGAGACTTGTCAGTTGGGACTGGGAGACTAATGTAGCTACCCGTGATATGCATATACGGATAAGCGGATATGCTATTCCTCTTGACTTCAAGACCCTTCCAAGTAACTATCTAACTAGGTCAGGTTAGGCAGATTATGTACCCTCTAAGTAGTTACCTGCATGTGCCTACATAACTACCTAGTAGTACTAGGTTAGGTACATAGTACGATGTATGTAGTGCCCAGCCCCTAGGTAGGTATAGAGTACATAGTAGATGGTTACGGGTGCCAGTGGCTCTTCTTCCCTGCTAAACGTGGATTGTTAGTACCCCTAGGCTTACATACATACCTAGTCTGTTTGAAGTCATATCGACTCGAATTTGGGTTGACTGATTCGGCAACGTTGCGATGCGAGATCTGAGAGAATCTACACATGGGTAGTCGGTAGACGTCAGTCCAAGTTCGTAAGCCCATTAATCGACGGTCATTAATCTTCGATGTAACCAACAGGCGTCCCTCCTTGCCCCTCCCCCTTGGTTAGGTAGGTTAGGTATATAGCATGAGCTGTTTCTAGAAACTGAAAGAACAAAATGATATCCCAACGTAGATCTATTGCTGTCGTAGCCGAAGAGCCGAGCAGGAAGGTAGTATGGTTAGCCTTAACGTTAACCGCTCTGCAGGGCTACTAGGCTATGTAGGTAGGTTGGTATTGGATGGATAGATGGGGATCCTCTCAAGGTCCATGCTAAGTATATCCATACATGTACGACTACATAGGCATGTCCGTTGATTTTTGACGCCTAATTCGGCAGAAGCGAGAAGAAACTGGGCATCGGTGTGTGGCATTTACTCCTGCCATCAAGTCGATCACCAAGAAAACGTTGCTTTTAAACTTGTCGGCACCGCACTGGATGGCACCTCATGTCGAAGCGCTCTAAATACCTGGTATGACCCGAATCCTTGGCACGTGCGAGTTTGGACATCATGTAGCCTGCGGTCATATATGGAGACCTCTGTAGACCGTGGGTGGTCTGATACGCTACCGATTTTAGACTTGAAAGCAAGCTACATGCCTCCATAGTACCTAAGTTATGTAGGTACTTAGGCACGGGTTAGTCAACGACAGCGGAGGTATGTAGTGTGGTGCAGGAGCATGTTCGCGTGCTAATCTAACTTGGTGGTGGCCGGCTGGAGTACTAGGTACCTGGGCAAGGATGGCTTTGTACATGTAGTTCGATGACAACCTTGGAACCCAAGAACTCCAGCTCTACGACAACGGCACACGGAATCTGCAACAGGCGAAATTCCCCAAAACACTACCTAACGGGGTAACCTTAGCTAGTTGTCAAATACATACCTACTTACCCAGGCAGTAACGGACCGAAGGCCGCTCTATATTGTTGTATGCCGTATTCCGTTCAGGCATAGAAGCTCAACGCGTTTCTCTGTCGTGCGACCAAGGATATGTAGGTTACCGTTTGACAGCACATATACGTATTCAAGTGTAGGCAGGGTGGTGGTTTTTTTTTTGACGCATGGCGCACTCGGTGACATCCTATGCAGATAATGCACCAATTATCATGGCGCCCAGGCGGAGAGGAAATGGGCTTGGTGTTAGATGTTACGGATGACCTCATTGTCGTTGGCCAGGGTTTCATTGGTGCTATTACTACTATGTGCCCAGGTAGGTAGGT